CCCATCGTCAACCCCACATATCAATCATCAATAAAGTTCCAAGAAGGGGCCACGAAATTGTACGTTAATTATGGACTAAGCTGAGCAATGGTGACTTATTGGTGTTCGAAACACGCAAACGTAATGCCTACTTCAACGCCGTGTCCATCAGAGCAAGCATATGATGACGTTTGCTTATAGATACGACTTGACGTCGTCGTCTTACATGTCGTCTCACTATGACGATGATAACTGTTTTCATCTGAACCCCTTTTAAACTGCATAGACATTAGTACGCACATTCCCTGTGTGTTACAATATTATGTTTTCTCATATAGTACGAACTAGCAACCCATCTCTTTTATTTTCATCAAGACACCTGATTTCTTAGTGCACCCTTCATCTAGATTTTTCAACAAGTCCTGTTATATTTACACCACCCCTGCTTATTTTTCCAGACAAATTCTAAACGTTGCTGCAATAACCGCTGAACGGCCAGCATTTTGAAGCCGTGAGCCAACAAGGTTTGAAACCCAAAGTCTCCAAAAGATGCGCGGTTACCATAAGTTCAGGGGGCAGATTTTTTTATTTATGTAATTATTTACTTATTTATTTGTTCGTTTGTTTGTTTATTTATTAATAATACCCGGAGCGCCCGAGGGCATTATTGCAAAAGCGAAAATAGATGGTGTTACATACGCTTACATAAAAAGAACGATTCAAAAACAAGGTGAACACAACAACAGATCATAACAAAAAGGCAGCTATGACCGTAGGAATATGCCCCTGAAAGATGATTCAGTGTGGTAGTCTGTAATCTCTTGTGTAAGCCGATTCCACTGGGAGATTGTTTCTCCCAGTGGAAGATCGTAAATGTTTCTTTTGCGAAAAAAAAAAAAAAGCTCCTAACTTTAGAGGGTGGTCAGTTCTCTCAGATGAAAAAATGGGGAGATGAATGGTACGATTCTTTATCTATTTTGATCAACCCATGAAATATTCAGAAAAGCATTTCTGATCTCAAGTTTTTTCTACGTGATACTAGCAAATCCCACCCTAACCTATCCTTAAGCGCAGTGGCACTGACACGGAAAGTCATAGTTGCTAGTCACAAAACGAGCTGCGCTGTTTTGTACGATCTCGAGCCTATTAGACAAAGTTCTTGTCTGAGTTCCACACCACACAGGCGTACTATAAGATAGGTGGGACATTCGAAAAGTAAAGTAGTTGTCTGATTTTGGGAGGAGCTAACCGTAAGTTCCATTAACAAAGTTTAACGTTCTTCTGGATCTCACTGTGACATATTCAACGAAGTTAGCCCACGTAAGATTTGATGAAAAGTAAATACCTATGTATTTATAATCAGTTACTAGCGTTAGCTGTATGGTGTCTAATGTATAATGAAGCAGATATGGGTCGAGTTTACGAGTGAAGGAGACGCACTGGCACTACCCAGGGTTCAGACTCATAGGTCACTTACCACACCAGCGCATAATACTGTTTAAATCACGTTGCAAGTACTGATGGTCAGAGGTGAATCTAATGCAATGGCAAACCACACAACCATCTGCATACAGGCGTATACTTTGCAAGACACATTCTGAGCAATATCGTTGATGTACACTAGGAACATCAAAGGTCCCAACAAAGGTTCTAGTAGAACTCCCGAAGTAACAGCAACATATTCAGATTGGGAACCTATAATTACGACACGTTGCATCCGGTCTTGTAGATAACACCTGATACAATCAAGAAATGCAGGAGTAATACCGAGGGATGAGAGTTTATGTAGCAGCAGAACATGAGGCACAGAATCAAACGCTTTCGGAAAGTCCACGAATATGCAGTCCGTCTGCACCCCAAGGTCGAATGAACAAAAAAAGATAGTTTGTGCTTTTCAATGGGGGATAAAGGACAGGGGGGGGGGGGGGGGGTTCAGGTAGTCTATAATCGTGCGTTGGTTTGTACGCTTGCGTGCAGAAATACACACGTGCGAATTTTGGAATTTTTGGGAGAATGGGGGGGATGTTGATCTCCCCTCACTTTTAGCTACGCATATGCAGTTTTGTTGAAAGAGTATCTGTACATTTTTTCGATGTGTCGAGGGAATTTTTTTAAAACTTCTTGCTGCTCCAAAAAAAAAAGGGCTTGCTGCGCCATCTGTTTGAAAGACATAAAGGTCGAGTGCGAGAAAGAAGGGCACGTTCTTCGCGCAAGAGGGCGCGAGGTCCGCGCATCAATATGACTCTCAGGGGCGTTGGCGCGCAGTAATAGAAGCTTTCGGCAGATGGCTTCAGTGCACTAGCGCGTTCATTTATTAGTATTCCAGTGAGCCTCGTGAGCGCGCTATTCAAATCTATGATTCGTTGTGAGGAAGCGTAACAGCATCCCGTCAAACAGGTACGGTGGCTTACAAGGTTGCAAACCATCTAAGTGACTTTTCCGGCAATTTTATTTTACACGTAGTAGGACGGTATATTCAGCCTAAATCGAATGACGTTTGTACTATAAACGAGCTTTATTACGCGAAATATGATCGTCAGTGTCAATGACGAGTTATGCGAACGATCACTATATGATGAAGCTGTTGTGTGATGCCTTCATGCTATGTATTGGTGAAGTCATTGTGACGTCATCGCGATTGTCAGAAGATGTCGCGTGACGTGCCGTGATGGCATGACATCGACGCTTTATGCGCAAAAAAGAAACTGTAGAGTAAAAATTGCAAAACAATCTTGACAGCTGCCTTCCTGTAATTTTAGTGTTCTATTCATTGCGTTTCCTATCTCTTATCGCTGCATGTTTCCTAATCCGCTGCCACATTTTTTAAACAAGATTAGCTAGTGTAACTTGATGGCCTAATATGTATATTGCCCCGCCGAGGTGGTCTAAAGGCTAAGGTACTCGGCCGCTGACCCGCAGGTCGTGGGATCGAATCCTGGCTGTGGCGGCTGCATTTTCGATGGAGGTGAAACTGATGTATACCCACGTGCTCAGATTTGGGTGCACGTTAAAGAACTCCAGCAGGTCAAAATTTCCGGAGCCCTCCGCTACGGCGTCTCTCACCATCATATGGTGGTTTTGGGACGTTAAACCCCACACATGATATTACTATTATGTATATTTTCAGTTTCCAATAAACAACAATTATAATTCGAGCGTGATTTCTTTGTTCTTAGCTGAGCAGGGAAGTGTCTGGTGGTGTGCTTGGATTTCCTTGAAGGGACGCTACATAAAAAAGGGATTTTTTCGAGTATTAGAAAAGTGCGACTTTCCAGTTACGAAAACGCCACTTAGAGCGAGAAAACAGGCTGAAAAAAAGGAAATGCCGGCGAATATGCTACCTTGAGAGTCCCGCACCGTGACGTCATAGGCTTTGATGGCATCTGCTGGGTTGTACGTAGTTTTTAATCAGTAAAAATAAAGTACATCGTCATATTTAGCTGCAATAGACCTAACGTACGAAGTGTCGGAAAATTTATTCGAACCTGCGCCACGAAAACACGGAAATCACATTTTCAAATCCATGACGTCGCATGCAGCGATCTCAACGTGAAAATCGAAAAAAAAAAAACAAATAAAAACTTCACCCTTGATTTTCTTCGGTAATAATTAACTTATCATAGGGAAACTTGTGAAATATTTCAGTGCTCAGAGCACAGTTTATCAGCCTAAGCCAGGCTATTGCTTTACACTAGTGTCACTTTAAGTTTTCTGACACCGGTGTGGATCTTGTGCATCGCGTTGACGCTTGTAGTTTATTGATAATGATACCTGTTACTGGCTTTCGCTCTTGTTCTTGACCCTCATACTTTTATAGTAAAACCGACTGAAAGCAATACCCAAGTGCCACGAATATTTCATTGGCATAACTGATAATTGCTTTACACGAAAAAAAAAAAACGCTAAGTAGTGGACGGCAGGCTTTTGCGAGAATTTCAAAGCATCGGGTGGGTTATTCAACAAACATCAGTGATAAGGATGACAAAGATGCTGATTTTTCGGACACTTCTGTAAATCTGGTCACTTTCGTAGAACCATCACAGGCCCTATCCAGCCATTGTGTGACAACGCCTGAAGTGTGGGACGCTGAAACTTTACCAAGTGTCAAGTTTTCATTCAAGTCACATGTCCGAAAGTCTTTAACAGGTGCCGTTACCACAACCACGCAATAGCGGATATAAAAAATTAGCTTTGCCACAATGCCACCAAGCTGTGCAATAAAGCATATTGTAAATCCGAAGGAGCGCTGCGCGGTCGTTGGGTTTGTGGGCGGACGTTCCGCAGCTTGAATTTTTTTGTTTTCTCTCTTTTTGTCGATATCACACACCCTTACCTTTCGGAGCGAACATCCAACAGCCAGAATGCATTGTTATAGCCGATAATGCGGCATGCGAGCTTTGCTGCAAGTAGGTTATTTCACCATATGTATACAAACGTGGAAGTCGCAGTAGCTTCGCATCGTTGTGCCGGATATAGTAAAAACCGGTATCGTATTAGCAGGTTTGAATGTTTACGTGTTACGGTTTGTATGAAGCAGCGAAACTACAAAACGAAAAACAAAAATAAATGTGTCAGCGGTGTCCTCGTCCACTGTAGTCGGTTACAACTTGTGAATAAATCCAATCACTATCCCAACCACATATATTTGCGGAAATGTTATATTCTATTACTTTGCTCAATTTTGTGACGTAGAGTACTTTCAGCGCGTTTCCTGTAATTTGTTTTTGCACACATATTAATCGTGTCACTAATTGTGCGTTGAAAGCTTGAAGGTCCTTGCTGATTTCATTATCGCCAAGCCAAAGACCATATTTTAGATAGGAACAATGGACATTTAGTACTCGATATGCAGGCTATTACCTTTCCCATAAAAAATACTTATGGTTAGAAAGAAAACTGCCTTTTGCGCCTCTCTTGCGTAGGAGATTGACAAGCACGCAGCGTTTCTGTGTATGGGGTTTGTATTTAGCTTAGGTGGTGTACTTCTACGTAGTTAGAATTTTTGGGAATGGTACGTTCTTTTATTTCTTGCTGTACTTTGACATAATCTCCAGCACTTTCCGGTAAAGATGGTCTTTCGCTTTGATGCTCCATTCAAAGTCCAAGTGCGTAAAGCCTTTCACGGGCACCTTGAAGTTGAGGACCACGTTAGGTAGTATCTTTGCGAGGTCCTCCACGTCCTTAGGTGTTGACAGCACGTCGCCGTCACTCCAGTACAGTACCACCGGTGCTTTGACATTGGCCAAGTTGTAGGCCGGAGGCCTTGGCTGTTGGTATGAACGCATTGAGGTAAGGTCTAATGTGGATAGTGGGCAAAAAGTGCCGTTAAAGACATCGTTTCTACGCTTGCTTTAGAAGCATGAGTGAATTACAAACTTTATTAAGACAAGACAAAACACAAAAAGAGCGAGCCCAAGCAAACCTCCTGTAATAGACATCCGATATCACGCAAAACATGCCTTGTTTTATTCTTCCAACAACAATGACAATGACGACGATACAGACTGCTCACAAGTGATCTGAACTCTAATGCAGTTATGATCTTCACATTTTTTTTAACTATCAAGTTGTAATCCTGCACATGCCACGCAGGAGTGATTGAAAGTTTTAACTTGTGAATCAAGAGGCAGCATATGTAAGATCTAGGAGTGGGCCATTACTGTCACAAGTGAAATAAACTTTGTGATAAACGTTGTTCTTAAAGCGCTCGTTAAAAGTGAATTCCGTTATTAGTTTCTGCGTTCTTGAAGAAAGTGGCACCCAGAAGAGTAGAAAATCGGAGTGATCCTTTGAAGCCATAAAAGTATACATACTGTTCCGTAGGTGGCAACGTTTTTAGTGGGCCCCCAGTCATATTTTTGGAAACGGTTAGACTTGACTAGCTGCGATAATAAGAGCAACAAGATAAGATACGTTTGTTATTGACGATTCTGTTTATTATTGAATCTGTGAGATCTACATTTCTGTAATTCAGCCTCAGTTACAATTCCTCTCTATGCATTCCCTATAAACAAAAACAAGTAGGAAAGGCATGCGTTCATTTACACAGCTCACTTAATTGCGCCGACCAGGGTGCTTACCTGAGAAAAATGTGCAATATTCCGCACTGAAGTCCCTGAAGGATAATTAGCCAAGAAGACTGGAAGCCTAGTCTGCGCCCAAGAAAAGGAAAAATAAATTTTGTGAGAATAGAAAGCAGGAAATTTTCCTAAACTGTTTCTACGCAAAATATTTGTTATTTGCATGACACACGCTTTATTTTTTTAAATGCGTACTAAAACAAACATTTTCAGTCGACTTGCTCTTGCGTTTGATCAAAGATTAAGTCCTGATGATCCCAATAGGTGTACATTCAATGTATGACATGGTAAGCACGAGTATACTCTGAAAAATTGGGCAGATTCCACTCCACATACCGATACGATACAAGCTTCTCGTCTCGCGCTCGCACAAGATATTGAGACGTTTCTACGACCGCTCCGCACCATGACTCTATCGGCGACACACAAGTGGCTATTTTGAATGTTTTGGTATTTGACGTCAGCACAACTAGCCCGACTATTGCGGGAAGTCAGCAGAATTAGTACTGTAGCCTGACGTCATGCTAGTGGCGATGTCCATTAGTACATCATGGAGGAAACTGACAATAATGCCAAAAAATTTAGGGTCTCTTAAGCTTCGCCTTTAAGAGTTGACCGCGATAGCGAAATCTGGTCCCTAGTGCTTCCTTGAACCGCTAAATGCGTACTTAATAATATGCTTTGTTACATACATACACACGAACGCACCCAAACACGCAGACAGTAGATTGGACCAGCGCGCGCTATTATCGCCAAATCGGCTCGTTTTCTTCGTGACATCTGTCGAACAAAATGCGTTGAAGGGGCCCTGAAACACTTTTTAAAGTAGCCATGGAGTGAATTCACTAGAAGAGCTTATTTGCTCAGGAATTCAACGCCGAAAAATGTTAAGAATCCGTCCAGCGCAAGTGGAGTTACAAAGGTTTGTCGCATGCTGCAATAGCGTTATCTCGTCTCTCGTCCCGACAAAAGCGCTCGAAGCTAATCAGAGAGGCGTGGCAGGGCAAAAAAAAACCAAAAAAACTACCGCGCCTCGTGACGTTCAGAACTTTTTTTCTTCGAACGCGCGGCTTTTTCAGTGTGACTACTTGCCCACGCGCACGCGTGGACCAGTAACGGCCTCCCGCGGCTATGTCGGTAACTTGATTTATTAGTCACAAACGCACAGACAATTTTTCGCTCGCAACCAACAAAGCCGACGCCAGCGGCGGATTTTCTGCGACACGAGCTTTCTAACCCTATCGATGTAATAAGATACCTTATCAGCACTGACTGAGCTTTAAACTTGGTCAGAGCTGTTGGTGTAAACACAATAGTTGTCTCTGTAGGTGCACGCGCAAATACAAAAAGCGCACACGCACGCACATGTGTGTGAACAGACGACGATTATTATATGTTTAAAGGGACATTAAAGTCAAATAATTTGTCATAATGAAAGCTCAATGTATGACAACGTTTAAAACGACAGTATTATCAATAGCCTAGCCTTACTTACAAAAAAATTAAGATAAATGCAAGAGAACACCTGCGCCACAAGTAGGAGATTCGCAAAATGATCCGGATGACATCAAAGTTACAACCTGCAGTTAATCACTAGTAATTGAAGTAGCGACACTAAATAAAAACCTTTTGTGCCTCAAGAGACGTAACAAAATGCTGCTTGTTCATTTCTCTTTGATTCGTGTAAAAAAGAACCGCTGGGAGTTACCATGAGGAGTGGCGCGAGTGGTTCCAAAATTCAATTTTTGCCTGGTTTAACTGGACAGTTCGTATATCTAGTGGAGTCAAGCACGCCTGCCATCTCGGACGCCATTGCATGCAATTTTTCAATGGTCATTGTTGCTGCTGTGGCTCCCGCTACTTTGACTCTGCTGTTACTAGTGTCGGCGGCGGCGCAGTAACGCCGGGTAACGTTGTGCACGGCAACAGTTACGTGAGACGGCCACTTTTAGGCGGAGGATTCGAAGTGTGCTGACAGGATGCAGACCACGGAAATGTTATTTCAATTCAATTCAATTCAGTTCAATTTTATTTCATTATTTCAAAATAAGCACTTCCTTTGCACCAAAGTAGCACTACGAGGTTTCCGAACAGCTATTTCTGCAATCAACATCGACGTAATACTTGCCTCTAGTCTCCCTTTGAAAATAATATCGGATGTTAAGGGCTGCGTAGATGCATTGCTGAGTAATGGGGCCGGTATTCATGTAAAGTAGAGATCCTATTGCACACCTCCCTGCGTTTCTAGTTATATCCGGCCATTCGTTTGAGAACCGCGCGCTCCTTTTGGATTCGAGGACAGATTGACAAGGCAGCGTGAGGATTATTGCAGTTGGCGCACTTCAGAGTAGTCGCCCGACAGGTGTCTTCGGCATGAGGTTCAGCGCAACAAGGACACAGTCGTGAGTTGGGGCATACGCCCTTGACGTGTTCTAGCCTGATGCACGGCTGATGCTTGTGAATGCACTGATGCCTGATGCTTTTGAATGAATGGTCAAACTGGACGTCGGAAATCTCCAACTTTAACGTGGAACGGTATGCAATCTCCCTTGAATATCAATTCTACGCAGCACGTATTTCCAAGGCACCGCACTTGCGTAATGACAGTGCCTTCGTACGCAGGCTTGATGAGGGTATAGGCAAGTCAATGTTAGGAATGGCAATGTCGATGTCATAAATCACACCGGCAATTGATTTATTATCTATCCGGATAAAGTGGCACATTTAATGCCGCCCAGCTCAGTCATTTGCTGCAGCTGTCCTAGCGCACTGACATCGTGCACGTCTATGGCGAGAATATTCTTCCTTGGGTTTACTCTTACTTCGTTAATTTGATGTGGCACCGCACATTCCAGAGCAACGGAGAGGGCTTGCCTGTTCAGAAGTCCTAGGTTGCTTGAAGGACCTTCCGACATGATGATGACGTGCGGCCAGCGCGCAGGCCTTGACTGTACAGTCGCTGTACTTGCAGGAGCTGATGCTGATGTATTGGTAGTCCTTCTCTTCACCCTCTCACTCGGACAGGTATGAAGCTGTCATTGGATGTGTCGTCTTTTGATATAGAATATAGATCGGTGTCTTCAGTGTCACTGGGAAGCCAGCTCGATTCCTTGTAGTTGACGGATGTGAGGAACTCTGACCAGGCGGGCCTCTGGCATGTTCCGTGGCCATCGCCGTGAGACGGGGAGGCAAGGCACCTCGAAAAATCGATGGTTTCACTAAGCAATTTAGAGCGCAGAAACAAGCGTTCTTTCAAAGAAACACTTATTCTTCCCTATAATACAGTAGCGGTCAGGTCTGCTGAAGGAATAAAAATCACTGCATTTCAAGCTGCTTGAACATTATTATGGGGGAAGCTTTCGGAGGTGATTATTGTGATTAAAGTTGAGATAGTACTGAGATTGATTGTGACGTCACATGACATACAACGAGACGATTCAATATAACAAAGAAAATAGCAAATTGGAAGACGTTTTCAGTTTTGTGTCCATACCTGGACGTAACGAAGTGGAGAGCGCAGTGGTAGTTTGTCTGAACTTTAACTTTGACTTTGTCTCATGACAAGAAGAGCTCTAATTAAGACTTTTATAGCGAGCTCCTTCCAGGAACAACGCTCGGCTGCAAAAGTTGTCACAGAGTGCTCTGTATTTTAAACAAGCGAAAAGGAAATATATAAACGAAAGAACAGGGATGTTAGCCAGTTCCTAGACTGGCTGGCTACTCTGTGTATTTTAAACAAAGCTCATAGGAGATGTAGGAAGCCATTCATGGCTGTCGGTAGCTAAGAATGCGGTGTAGGCTTATAAAAATGTCCCTCGGTACTTTAGACGCACGCAGGTTGTGAATCATTTTCACTGGTATAGCGCACCACGACAAGGACACGATAATGTCACGTCAAGAATACAGCACAGCCCATGCACGTGTCATCACCGATAGCGACGATCTACACTATCCCGTCAAAGTGAAGATTCCGTCAAAGTGACGTGACATCATCCAGGTTTTATCGCTCTACTGTTGTATAAACAGCGTGTGTGATCACAAATAAAACATTAGTTGCAAGTTAGCGCTGTATGTGTGTGCATCTCTCCTTTGTGTGTGTCCTTGTCGTGGTCCGCTATACCAGTGAAAATGATGAATCTCAACCAACTAGCCCGGCAACATGCCTTAGCAGGTTGTAAAAGTGTAATCTGCCTTTAAGTGCAACCAGACAGACCTACCTTGTTCCATTCCACAGGAAACCCTCCATTAATGGCATAAAAGCCAACTTTACAGACAGGCAGAATTTTAATGCACGTTAGCTCTCTTAGTCCGCTCAAGACGGAGCCTTTGTCCTCTTCAAGTGACCCTTTCCAGATAAGCTGAAAAATGTCCTGAAAAAGAAAATAACAAAAAAACAGAAAGCTCAACGTATACTGCTTCATTGGTGAGTGGGGGAGGGGCGGTGATTTAGGATTTCCGTCAATATTAGTTTGAACATTTGCAAGCGGTATCTTTTATCAAGTGTAATTAAGAACTCGCAATGATAGCCCAGTAGGACCTGGAAGGGAGAATTCAATATTCAGCTACTCAATCGAAATTGATGAATGCTATGACTTCACGCAATATTTAAAGCTACAGCATCAGGAAAACTCTGGCTTACGTGCGCAGCCCGAGGGAGTCTTGGTCATTGCTCGTTTAGTGAAACTAGCAACGTTAATGAGTCTATTTTCTTTCGAGCGCATACAGGATGGCAAGCCTTCAACTTCCCTCTAAATCTCCAACCTTGGCTTGACAAACTTGTTGAAATAGAAGTAAGCATTCTCACCAACAAAGAAGCCACCGGCACTAAATGACGCAGGGCCGCTGTCATGTGTCCCATAAAGGCTACCGGCGCGAAAGCGTTGAACAGTCGAATCTGTGAGAACAAATGGAGAATCGATATATACTGACAGCACCTTATCGGCCTGAAAATACGCTGACATATATTCGCTTAACTATATCGCAAAAGCAATTGTGCCGCGGGTCATCACCCCAGGTGCCTTTTTTTTTTTTGCACTTGTCCTTTCGATAGTTCGTGATTGCGTGAATTCATGAAAAGCAGGTATTTCGAAGTTCGCGTGAAGTATAAAATGATGAAGTGAATGAAAGTGGGAGAGAGTGAATAGAAGAGGTAAAAAAGTATAAAGAGTGTACCACTAAGGCACTCTTTGGTTCACAGGATCAATAAAACCGACGTGAAAGTTCGATTTGGTCTTTATGCCACATTTTCTAAATCTTGTCAAGCAAACAAGCAGCCCCGCCGTGGTGGTCCAGTGGCTAAGTCCCTCATCTGCTGACCCACAAGTAGCGGTATCGAATCCCGGCTGCGGCGGCTGCATTTCCGATGGAGGCGGAAATACAGAAAGCCCGTGTGCTGATTTGGGTGCACGGTGAAGAACCCCAGGTGGTCTAAATTAGCGGAGCCCTCCGCTACGGCGTCTCACAAATTTATATTATAGTTTGAGATGTTAAACGTTATATATGAGTCAATAAATCAATCCAAGATGAGCAAACAGTACGTTTAAAGTACACCATTGAGTATAATTAACAGCCATGCGCGTTAGAGTATTTCTCAGCATCAATATAGATTTTAGCGCGAATAGACAACACACAAAAATGGAGGACGACTACAGAAGTGCTCGTGTAGTTGTTTTCCTTTCCTGTGTGCTGTCCGTTTGCGCTCAAATTTATACCGGAATGAGTTAACGTGCCTAGCAAAGCATTTAATTAAGTTTTTCAGCTTCAGTAGCCTTTTACTCCTTTTGTTCATTTCGACTTCGTTTCACTCGACGGTATCCAAAAGTGTTAACCCAGCACAATGTTCCGAAATGGGCTTTTGCTCACCTAATTTTTAGTGTGACCTCACTCGTCATTTTTAAAACAAGGTGATGTAGCTGTTGTCTAGTCAGATGCTTACCTTCTTATTGTATTCAGGTTTGGATGCAAGCAGACCGAACATGATCGCTGTTCCTTGAGAATACCCTACGTATAGCAAGGATTCTTGCTGGGTCATTTTCAGCACGGCGTCTATTTGATCTGGTAGGTCATAGCTTATCATTTCATCTAAGCTTCAGAAAAAAAATATGTAGGATGTTAGAACACAAGATTTAAGCGTTTTATGGCAGACACGCAGATAATTATGTTTCAGTTTAACTTTGAGTTTATTCAACTACAGAAGAAGTAAATAAAGAGCACACTGTGTACGTGATTTGTGGAAATTGGCAAGAGCTGAACGTCATGCCTGCACATATGCAGAAAAAAATTAAATGATAAAATTAAAAAAAATACAAAAATAAAGAAACATTGACTGGATCGCCTTTCCTGCTATTTAATGCTATCCGTTACCTTGTATCTCTGCACTGCATCGTGCAATATCTCATGCATTGTTTATGAATGTTGCAGTCGTTGTAGTGTAACACTACGCCGCGAGAAAAAAAAGTATTATTAAACTTCACCGAAACTGAACTGAACATACTGATACGGTGCTGAACAGCGGATTTTTTGGAAAAAGAAAATTGGGAAACTTCGCAATCGTTTGACAAATATGTGGCGTTGCCTGTTCTCGGAAGACTCGGGAACAGAAACGGAAATAGAAGTGCGCTGGAATCAGATTTCGCTAATAATAGGAGCTCAACGAAATCGCAGCTGCTGCGACAATGAGTAACCCATTGTCAGAATCATGCGGAGCTGGTATTTACAGTAGACAAACAGCTTGTACAGTCTAGCACAAACTAACGTGCTTTCCCACGAAATTTTATCCTTTTTCTCGCAATACTGTTAAGCTTTTTTCTCTGGTTACCAGCGTCGTGCTTTTTTTTTCGCACAAAGCCCAGTGCTTGAATTCTTCTTGACTGCTGCAGTCGTAATCAAATTTCTTAAAGTTCAAGAAAGGCTCTCGCGCATAAATTTGGGCAAAATATTCAAGAGCACTTCACTTAGGTGACTCTAAGGGGTGTACTTCTTAATTTTCTCGTTATACTTTGTTCTACTGAGTGAGCTCTACAGTAAATTGTCACTGAGAAACGTGACAATTGCAAAAAAAGAAGTTTAAATAATAAACGAAGCGTGCAGATAATCAAGTGAAATTAAGGAACTAGTGATTTTCCACATTATATGCGATCTGTGCGAAAAGAAACTTAAAAAAAAAAAGCCGCAAAGCAACAAGCATACTTTGCGAGGCCAAGTAAATTATCCTACCTGAAGTTCCAAAAAGCGCTGCTGTCTTTGTGAAGCCGGAGATGGCTGGAGTACCTTGAACCTCTTACGTTTGCTAACCAGACATCGTAACCTTTGTCCGCTAAGATGAATCCTACGTGCCAAGTTCAAAGAGAAAAACTCGATCACACGTGCACGTCTGCTTCCTTATTACGTTTAGATATCTCGCTGCCATTGCCTGCATTGCTTTATATTCTGAACACGTTTTATAAAAAACGCAGTAATCATTTATGAGACGAGTGGGCATATTTCCAGAAGATACGGAGAAAGATAAGGTCTACTTACTTATCAGGGAAGACAAGCGCTCAATAGTACCTACAAAAGCACAGGAACTTCAACCTAGCTTTTGCATTTTTTACTCGTAGTACTTTTGTTTTAATAAATACTCTCTTTTTTTCCTTGACGAGTTGTCCTCCTAATAGTTTAGAGCTTATGGGGCTCACCGGCTGACCTCAAGGTCACAGTATCGGCCTCGAAAACATACCGTGGCGCCTTCTTTTACGTTATGACGTCACTCATAGGATGCCGGGTTGTGTTGTCTGCTATAGAACACCGCATTTACGCTTTTACTGTGGACACCGTGCGTGGTTCCCTTTGTTTCGAATCTCCGTGCTTGAAGAAGCGGTGGGACCCAACAATACGGGTAAGCAAACTACGAATTGGTGCCCCCGGTGGCACTTTCGTGTCTAATTTGCATCGTAAAATCGCGACTAAGAACCGGTGAAGCCATGGGCGACGGTGCAAGTGGTGTCGCGAAAGCAAAGCTGCCGTAATCCACAACTAAACATCCTATCTGTGACGTCAAAACGATCGCAGCGCCGGCCTCTCTAGTGGAGGCCCTAACAGCCAAATAAATACCGGTCGCAGAACCCGCGTGCTTGAATTTAGCCACACTTTAAAGAACCTCAAGAGTTTTAACGTTTTAGAGACCTTTGCTGCGGTGTCTCTCACAATTATATCGTGAACCTAGGACGTAAATTATTTTCACACCGAATAATCGCCGATAAATGCTTCGAAAGCACATTCCGCCATAAATTTTGCAGTGAATTGAAAAAGTATTCGCGATAAAGACACTGGCCATCTACTTACCAAGGCTCTGATCAGGCTTATTGAGAACGTAGTCCGCGCCACTACCTTCCAGACCACTCATCAACATCACCACTTGCTTTCGATGATGGTGTCCATTGTTTGGTTTGCTGCGTCCTGCGGGCATCCTTTGCATCATGATGACGTAGGAATCCCGAGTAGTGACATTGTGCTCTTCCACGGGGTATCCGAAGCCAGTTATCAGTTGCGACTGAAAATTTCACGACGTTATGTCAATGAATTAGCTTTTGTTTTCTTCACTGATTACGTGACTTTCTTTTGATTTTATGAATCAACTGATAATGAATCGAAGGAAGGTTAGGGGACATAATTGTAGGTTTTAACTGTAGAGTATCTATTGTCACATTAAAAGAAAACATTTTTGTTCATGAAAAATAATCTTGAAGCTGGTATTGACTGAATTTACAATCTTGAAATGATGCACGTAGTGACCCTAATCTTTCTTAGCTTCATTGACTGTTGGTTTCAATATTTTGGTCTAACAAAAGAAAAAGAGTGCTCGATCGATTTCGTTACCCAGTGACATTAAATTTTTTGCGATGCCTATCGTATTTTTGAAAAGTTGGTACATAACCAGCGTCCGATTTCACCCCGACGATATCAGCAATTGGCACCGAAGAAACGTGCTTTATGCACTTGGAGAGATTGATTGTTTCGGGGACGTGGATAGTTTCGCGCTTGACATCGATTTATTCACTACTGCATGACTTGAAATGTTTGCGCGCTTCAACGATATATCGAACCTTCATGGATCACCAGAGAATTACTTTATTCGAAGCGTCGTCTTGCAAGGCTACAGTGTGCAGGTCGTGATGACACTGACGCGAAAAAATCGGGTAAAAAGTACAAGTGCAGCGAAAGCTTTTCACTTGCAGTTAGCTAACCATGCGTGGTCAGGAACAACTCTCGTAAGTCTCAGTTGCATTTGGCCGAGTCATCCATATAGCTACATACTTTTCTTATGTTAAAAACTTCGTTATACAGCCGCGAGAGTTGGACAATGCATTTATTACTGCCTTAAGTTCATTTTGCGTTAAATGAATACGACCTGCTTCGCACACTTCATATAACGAATAACTTGTTTCTATTTAAGACATCTCACTCAAGCTGGCGTAACAGATTTGAATTGTCATGTATCGACTCGCCAAGCAAATTTTGATGGGAATCAAATTTTTTTCGACATCAGACGGGCAGGCATTAGAGCTTACAGGTTCCTGATTTGAGCAAAAAGGCAGCCTAAACAAGTCTGCAAAATAAAAAAAAACACACACATCGTAGTGCAGTGCCCACGATGTCCTTCCTTTAGCCATGACGACAATTTAGCCCTATTTTCTCGATCAAGTGTTCAAGGTGTTCTTCATTGAGAGCAAGCTTTTGAAGCGCTTACCGTATTTTTCTTGGCATCTGGATCAGTGGAAAGAAATGTCGCGCTGACCTTCGATATTAAAACAAAATACAGTATTACTAGGAACACCGGCCGTGTTCCTTTCATTTCAATGTGTGCGTTAGATGTAGCTAAGGCTGCTCTTTTCAGCCTGTTATACTGAACTACTCGTGGCGCTAAAACCAGACGTCTCGAATGGATGCTTCCAATGAAAATAGCCGAACTGAGAATATTCCCCGCATCAAGTTCATTTTGAGTTTTGTGTTTTGCAGCAAACTTATGTATGAGCTAGAAGTAAAGCACACGTTTACTATTTCACTTCATTTCGCATAATAAATTATGCGTACAGTGCACGCTGCGAAATCATTATCAATATAATTTTCATTTTTTTTCGAAATTCAACCTAGACTTATAAAAAAAAGAAAGCCTCGAATAAAATGGCGCTCGTGTTCATACCTCTCGTTGCAATTGCCCTGCTTGACAGCACACATTTTATGTTCAGAATGCATGGCCCGCGCGAAAGCTTCTCGAAAACATGACATCATTAAGCTTCTATTGAGATGAACTAGCCGGCGTGGACCGAGAATTCATACGAAAAACAACCCTAAATATTCGGTGTTTGTATCGATTCAGTACGGCGTTTCTTTCAAGACTACATTTTAAATAGGGCGTTTTTTTCCTCGCATTCTCGAGTTTTTTTCGTAGGAATACTTATGGGGCTTGAAGTAATATGTTTACGGTTTCAATAAGATTGTATGTGACAAGCGCTCGTGGCATCGCAGGAGGTGCAAATGCATTACGTTCGTGCTTCGTGGAGAGTAAGTTTACGATCACTAAATGTTATGCATAAAGAAAACAGGATACAAGTTTTGGGGCTTCGTAAATGGGGCTGAGATATGAGGGTAAGGGATGCGTTTAGGTTAAACTAAGGCAACGCGAATATTGCACTCACACCTGAATGAGTGAGACTCTTTTTGGACGTGAAGCCAAATAAAAGCCATGTGGTTAACCTTTGTCAAGCACGAGTATGCTGCCTGTGGTGCAGCCAAGGAGGATTTAAAAAATTCCTTGAGTGGAAATGATTGCGAAAAAGTGAAGCCGTTCCTCTGGCAAGATGGCGGCTGTGGTGGACATCTTACTAGGGGTACAATAAAGTATCACCATTCAGTGATTGAAAACGAAGCGTTTCCTTCGCACGCCCAACGAGTTTAATGTGGGAACTTTTCCGGGTCACATGGTGCTCCAAGTGTGTCTTACAGTTACTAGTTCTCCTTAGTGAGCCTGTTATTGGAGGCAAAGTTCTTTGAAGATTCAGTTATCCATACTCGTTTCTGCGTGTTATTTCGTCGGGAACAACTATCTTTTAATATAGAACTAACGTAGCATTTACATAAAATATCAAAGCCACTTGATCTTTGAGTGGGCACTATCAGAAAAAAAAAACATGTTTCCACCATCTTGGCAGTGGCAAAAGGTGGCTTCACTTCTGCTGGCAAGGCATTGCGGGAGCTTCCACTCCAGCAATTTTTCTTTAATCCTCCATAGGTGCAGCGCACGTCGCGATGACGTTTTGTCGGCAACTTTTGTCAGAGACATTCTTGATACTGTAAACTACCGGGTCGCTTATTCACTTGCCGTAGTTTGCTCAAGAGCAGAAGCCATTCTCTTCCTTTTCTTTCGAGTCAATGTCTTAAACCTCGAGCGCCCATATCCGAAAGTTTTATTCAAATAACGTCGTTTCGCAATGCCCCTGGTATTGGAGGCGTTCTACGCTTTCTGTTCTTCACCTTGTTTTGCACGGCCTCCGGGATTGGCCTTCTTTTGAGCAAACATTGATGTCCTGCAAGTGTGCCACCATATGACGTTACAAAATTTCCCGATCAGTGTTGTCATTGTGACGTCACACGGGGACATACCGTTGTCATAAATTTTTGCAATACTCGTGCTTATGTGCCCCCGCTGCAGGACTCGACCGCGGGACTGTGGCCAGTTCTCGCGTTTCATGAGATATCTAAGGGATTTGTCTTAATAGATGCAGGATTAAAGAGTAGAATTGTTGTCCATGACTATTGGCTTCCCTCAAACGCGTAAACACTACACGTGTGGAGGCTGTCAGGCAGCACGATAACATGCGGGTATTACAAAAGTGTTTGCTGTTGAAGTAGTTGACACACGATGTTGAGAATGAAAATGCCATTAAATACGATGAGTGTGCACGCACGCGTGAGAAAGTTAACGTGCAGCTTATCCGAGGAGCTTATAAGAAAGGAATAATTTAGTCCTAGAAATGCAGTCCGTTAGCTTTGGCTCTATAGGCTGTTCTTTGTAGCTACATTAGGTGTAGACGCTGTGCTAACAGAAGTCTCGGAGAACTTTGGTTCCTCTGACATATTCTTGTCGTCGCTTCGCAAACCTTATCCAGTAAGTGCCCCGACAGGAACAGTACGATATGCCGCGTGACTGTTTACGGGTTTCATAAAGAAAAATAGAGAAACACGTCAAAGTAAAAAGGCAGAGACGTTTATTCAATAGTATATAGTTTGATCAAGTTCACGATTGTTTTGTAAAGGTGTTGCCATGCCGTGACACTCCAGCCGAAATCCAGATGCGTGAAGCCGGACACTGGTACTTTATAAACAAAGACGACGTTAGGCAGGCTTTTAATCAGACGCGCTATGTCACGTGGAGTCGTGAGACGGTCCCCGTCACCCCAGTAGATAGCCACCGGGGCTGTTACTTTTCTCATATCGTACGATGGTGGACGTTTCTGGAACGAAAGGCATGCTCACGTGAAAGAACGAATTGTAATGATCACTCCAGCATTTTCTTTTCTTGACAGCGGACTACTAGACCTCGCTTTTTAGGCGCAGTGGTAGCAAACTTTAAGCAGCTAGTTTGTTTTTTGAATACAGTAGTTAGGTTTATTGAGTCCACAGCACACAAAACACTTCGGTCACAAAAATGATTTCTTATTCATCGTTTATCTAAAGGAGTAACGTTTCTCAGGACCGAATAAAGGTCTGTCTGTCTGTCTGTCTGTCTTGTCTTGTCTTGTCTTGTCTGTCTGTCTGCCTGCCTGTCTGTCTGTCTTGTCTTGTCTTGTCTTGTCTGTCTGTCTGTCTGTCTGTCTGTCTGTCTGTCTGCCTGTCTTGCCTTGTCTTGTCTGTCTGTCTGTCTTGTCTTGTCTTGTCTTGTCTGTCTGGTCTTGTCTTGTCTTATCTTGTCTGTCTGTCTGTCTGTCTGTTTGTCTTGTCTTGTCTTGTCTGTCTGCCTGTCTGTCTGTCTGTCTGTCTGTCTGTCTTGTCTTGTCTTGTCTGTCTGTCTGTCTGTCTGTCTTTTCTTGTCTTGTCTTGTCTTGTCTGTCTGTCTGTCTGTCTTGTCTTGTCTTGTCTTGTCTGTCTGTCTGTCTGTCTGTCTGTCTGTCTGTCTGTCTGTCGTTCTGTCTGTCTGTCTGTCTGTCTGTCTGTCTGTCTGTCTGTCTGTCTGTCTGTCTGTCTGTCTGTCTTGTCTTGTCTTGTTTTCTCTTGTCTGTGTTATTAACTCGTTGCGTTAGTTATTGATATACTCACTGCAATATACTACAGCACCTTTTATAACTGGTGTTCTGGCACTACAAACCAATAACTGTTATATGGGGTGTCGCACTGATAGTGTAGTGTTCTTTCTTTGCTGCTTAAACCAAACTTGTCAATATAGTGCCGTACTGTCAAAAATATTTAGCTAAGAGAACCTGGAAAACTTGAGAGTCTGATTTCTGAATGATTTCTTCTGTACCAAGCAAAAGAAAGAAGTTTACTACACATTCCTAACCTTGGCTGCCTTTTATCATCACTCTAATTTCAGTCGATAAATACTACAAAAGGAGGCACGAAGTGTCTAGTCACACGCACTGCTTGTACATTTGAAGAAAGCGATACGTCAGGGTATACATAGGTTCGACTTATATATTTAATTGAAAACCACATTGTTATCTACCAACAGCTATTTGGGCACCAGATTTTGTTTCCGAAAACAGTGGAAGTATACGTACAGTAAAAAATGGAGGTATACTTTATAGTGGTCACGATAACTTTTACCACATATTCATACTCATTTACACTGTTTGAGCAGTTAAACGCAAAATAAATATGAAAACGAGTGCATGTACACACGCATGATATTTCAGCTGGTTTCAGTTTGCTATTGTGGTTTTTTTTTTGCTGATTGTTCATTTTTGAGTCCCGTTCAGTATTATTCTTTTATTTCTTTTTTCGCTGCAGAACTAATTGATACGGAGTAGCCGAGGAAATATGGACCTCAACCTCCCAACAGCAAAACAGTTGGAAAAGAACCGAACAGCATATGAGAAAAACTGTCCTTACAACGTTCAACCGTTATTTCACTCTATTTCTACTTTGTCTCATTCCTGACTTCATCGCAACTGATCTCGTCGGGAAAATGTTTAATGAGGCTATTTAATAACTTACTAAGCCGCCCGTTAGATTGCTCACACTTATTGTATTCTTCAACTTAGGTCAAATTACTGCGATTATACTGAAGGCTCAATCCTATAAAGAACGGTGGAACTTAGCTAAGCAGAGGGAGTGACATTTATGAATGGGGTACACTGCCGCAAAAGTGTACGTACCTGTCCATATATTCGTTTGTTCTTAAGTGGCCCCCAGTCAAATTTTCTGAATTCGTGCGCCATTGTCACCTGATAATTATAAAGAAAACACAAAGTAAAATAAGAGGCCTGGTCAACGGTTTCCATATCTTCTCGACCAACTCTACCTATCCGTTTACTATTATGTCGCTTGCTGTCATTATCTTACGTAGAAAACCAACAAAAAACTTGAGGTTTATGATAACTGGAAGGATCGGGACTCTCTATTATTACAAGAGAACAAAGTCGGTCAAACAGTTTAAAATGTGCCGCATGGCATCTCCAAATCGAGCATCTAGTTTAATGGAACTATTCAAGAGACCATTTTTCGTCGGCAGTCACCTGGAAAAGTAATAAATAAAAAGTGCACATATCGAGTTAGTACACGTGGTTCTTAGAAACGCACCCTTTTGCTGGAACTGAGCTAACAGAAAAATGGCCTTTCACGATTAATGACAATAACTACTTCGTGAATCAGTGCTCACAAATGATCCAGTGATAATAGAAGTGATTTTTGCAATTTGGAAACAATGCAGTGAAATGACACTAGCTTGCTCAGTAGTCACAGCAAACAATATTTAGCCATCTCTTATATGGGTCAAGTTAAAAATGGAAATGCGGCGTTATACCATACCTACTCTCCCTCTATTATATGCTCAGCGCAGTACGAAGACCTCTCCAACTGATCTACAATTTGACCTTTCTGTGGGACCTTATTCCATGTTATGCCTGCCAGTTTGTTAAACTTCATAAATTTTTCCATCCTGGGGTGGGTATCCCGAACTATGGGGTCCATTTTATCTGTTTAATTCAGTATCGGCTATATATCTTACACATTACGTGACCTGTCAGCTGTTTTTTTTTTGTTTTATTATTATGTACCTAACGTGAGAGCGCACGGCTGTGAGGTAAAAAACTAGTGTGATCAATCGGACCCTTCTAAAGTTCCTCCATCCATGCATTGATCCATCTTTGCACCCATCCATCGGCTTTCCCTGTTCGTTCTGCGGCCGAATCTGCTGTCTTGCTATGTCCTGATAAGGTGACTATATTTTTCGTTCCATAACGTTACCGTCACCTGCTCCTTGTTAACTGAGAGCGGGGGTGCACAATTTGCCCCATACACTGAATTAGCCGAGGGGGGGGGGAGCACTGCGATGGACTTCCCCCCCCCCCACCCCCCTGATGTGGAGCCCTCCGCACACTTACGATGTAGGCTTAGAGCAGCCTCCATATTTTTGAAATCTCTCGCCTTTCTAATTGAGACGAGACCGACAACACTCGATATTTACGTGTTTGGTCGGTATAATGCAAAAGTATGGAAAAATATTTCAATTTAGTTTTTCTCGAGAGGAACAGAGCCTACCTGAGCCAAGTGAAGCACGTTGCGCACGGACGTTCCTGCAGGGTCGTTCGCCAAGTACACCGGTAGCCTCGTCTGCAAAGAATTTAGGACGATTAGTGAGAGCTCGTTACGCCACCTATTTTGCTTTTTTTTCAAACATTGTGTGACGTACTACATTTCGCACACATCATGCCCACGCACACGTTTTCTGTTTTGTGCTCAAGCTAATCACTCGCAAGTTCTCCAACGACCATGCTCCTTTCTATTGGTAAGTGCTGGTGTTGAATGAATAACACTAATACAGAAACTAATAGAGAAGTAAATACCTATGAATATACATGATATGTACACACTCTACATCTTTATTGCTCTATGATTTAGCAATTTATACTTGTATAAAAGAACATTTATTTATTTATTTTATTTATTTACCCATTAATAGTTGATAACTTAAGTCAATCATATTTGCTTGGCGAGTTCCTTCTTATCTTTGTAAGTGCATTGTTGCAGGGACGTAACCTGGCAGCTCTTTTTTTTCATTTTGTTGTTAGTCCGGGTTAGTAAGGTAAGCTTTTGCAGGAGAAATACGTTTCCAAAGGAGAAGCAATCGGCATTATTTTCTATAGCATGTTATATCAATGCACTTTTTTCGAAAGGTTATTTAAGATGTTCACTATACAGATAAACGTGACCGCATAAGAACAGAGGTATGACAAAAATTGTTATAGTGCAAGGAAAAACATTAGGGAGCTTTAGAATAGCGCACCATTGTGAGCCCTTGCGGTGCGGTCGCTGCCACTGCGCATGCGTCGTAACGCGAGTCGGCGTTCGCGTTCACGGACCGCACGCAAAAAATCCGAAATTGCGTGCGGTAATGGCGGCCCGCATGTGGCCCGCATGTGGCCCGCAAGCACTGGTTTCAAGGCTACGGTGTCGCTGCGATCGTGCGTTGCGGTTCGCAGCAGGGCAAACGCTATTCTAAATCTCATATGGCACCCGCTACGCCCACGACGCCCGCAGCTCTTGCAAATGGTATTCTGAAGCTCCCTATTCACTTTCATAAGGCACACTTATCGAATATTTGACGTTTGCGCTGATCAACGCAAGGAAATTCAAATAGATACACTCGATCAGTTGTACGACAACAACAATTGCTTCAAAATCCGACACAATCACATTTTATAACAAATTCGGTTGCATGTATGCTCTTTAAGCTTTCCTTATGCTAAACCAGTTGTTTACAATTGCGCAACGACGCCAACAGCAACATGAATATCAGCAGCACTGGAAGCGGTAAGCTGATATAAAGTGCTGCTGGTCGCGAGGATCATCGTCCTGTACTCTGCGACATAAGCGGATAACACCTCACTGCAACTGATGTTAACCCGACCCGACAGCTGTATCGTTACATATATTTCGGCGCAAATATATGTAACGTTTATAAAAATTGGTAAGCCAGCACTACAACCACAATTGGCATTTCACGAACATTAGGGTCTATTTGAAAGGCAGTTCCGAAAACTGGCATGGCTCTGTTGTAGAATACTTGATTTCCATGCCGAATGCTAGAGTTTGATTCCTGCTGGGATACTGACATTTATTTTTTGAATTCGTCCGGTCAGCGCTGCCTTTGTCACGTTTTTCTGAATGCTTAAGCGTTTAAATTACCCATGCGTCTTCTTGCCGTTCCTGGTTATAGATATGAACTGGCAAACACCTGTGGCACATACCCGCACCCGGTTATGAGCCACTGTTGTGAGAGCACCGAGACGTAGGTGGATAGATGATAGATACGTAAATAGATACACAGATATTGATGCTCAAAGTTGCTACAGTACGCAAAGAAACGCTTCACATTTAATACATACAACGAGTTGGTTATTCTGTTCTGGCACTTCTCGTTTTTTCGGCGCACTTAATGATCAGTGGTCTGTTCACGTGGCGTTATGAAAAAATAAACCGTTGTGCCATGTCTCGCATGAATTGCGCGTGATGAACTGATCTCAACACGTTTTGTGTGTTTTCGACTGCGGAAACGGAGATAACATTGCGTCGCCGATAAGCTGGAGATCTGGATAGGCTGTGTGATTTGTGCGGAAATTGTGCACGTGTTTGATGAAGAACTAATAGACAAGGAGATAGCACCAGGAAGAAGGGTAGTCGAAGCGTTAAAAAACCATTTACACGTGCTCAGTCTTCCAAATTGTTTAGGAGCCATTTTAGGTAAATTTGTAATGAAAAAAAAAACACAAATTTTTGAAGCAACACTTTCTCGATATCTCTTAAAATAATATTCCTCATTCCTCCTCTTTCTTCCGCTTACTAAGGAGTAACTGCTAAATCATGTCAATAACAAATACAGTCAAACCAATGGGTCAAATAAATCACTAAAGTAAAAAAAACAGGTACACTTCTGATAAGCTCTTTAACTACAGCAACCTTGAGCCCTGATCTGTGCTTTGCATTCTTCTCTTGTTCTTCCGGCTTTTCTTCGAACTTTACATCGCTCACTTACCTGAATTTCAACGTTGACTGTTTGGAAAGTTTCGAAGTAGATATCGGATATACATCTATGACATTTATGAATTGGGATGTCATTAGTAACACTTAAAAACAACATACCAGCTACAAGTGCAGTAGCACGCCTGGCTGAACAGGAAATGCGTGATCTTGATGATGGTTTAAATTATCGCAACTCAGGCTTTCAGTATCCTAGATTCGTCACTTCACTTCAACTCTTAATATTCCTGCTATAGCTTCGTTCACCTCAGGTCTAGGCTTCCTATTTCCTGGCGGGATTAAATTCTATATTCATCTCGTTCTTTCCCCACTGAAATGCGATGTTCCTCGGTGATTTGGTTGCTGTACCGTGTTCATGTCGATGGGATATCCTCCGTTCATAAGGATGAAGCTCGCATTGCAGAGTCCGCGTGGTCGAACGCTTCTGCAGGACAATAGTTTCACTTTGTTGAGAAGCTGCTCGTTCCTTCCCGTCAATGTTCCTCCGAAGAGCAAGTCCACAATTTTCTGTGAAGAAAAGACAGGCATTTTCTTACACAGGTTACATACCATTAGAAAAGCACGCACAGCTGACTTACAAAGAGAATCTGAATTAGGCGATGATCTTAGCATATTAACATAGTTTACGCGATAATCGTGGGTAACGTAAAAAGAGTTCATTGCCAGTAGTTAGCCTTCTGTGCCAAGGCAAGGAAGGCGATGTGCGATGCGTTTTGATACAAGATTGCCAAAAAAAAAGAACTGTATAAAGAGATGTATACACGACACATTTAACGAATATGGTACAAAACAGCATTGTAAAAGCTCACAGGGTTCCGTATGCATTCACTTAGGACGACTCGAAGGTCACAGCCATCTTTTTTTCCCCTCTTAGCTGATGCAACAATGCTGCTCCGCAACCGTTCAAAAGCTGTTTACACGCAACGTGACTCCAATATCGGAGGCCCCTCAACTAGTTGTGCATTGCCTCCATGATCAGACAACGTTTGGTACCAAGTTAAAATGCGATTTTGATAACATCTTGATGATGTCATCAGGACGTTCCAAATTGTGGCAAATGTGAAGTCATGGTCACGTCATCATGGGATGATATTTTTTCATCACGCGTTCTTGACGGAATAGTTTCCTCAAGTCAACTATAGAGTGAACTTCTAGCGTTGTGATCGCTCGTATACAGATTTACCTGTAAGGTGATGACGCGCGCTGGTGAAGTGACGCATCTACATGCCTTATTCCTCCACTGCTTGCGCAGATATCAGCGCACTCGCTACGAGGGGGAAAACGCTTGAAGCGTGTGCCACATTCCTGTAACTCCGTTTCTACTAGAAGGATTATTAAAAGGTTCTTACAGTCTATAGGCACCCGACAGTGGACCAGAGGGCGCGACGGAGCTCTTCAGGCCGCCTCAGCATTTTTGGTACCGACTGCCAGGGTTACCAAGGAAATGAAACTCTCGCGGAACACATTGACATGCTTAAGTGTCACTGCCCTATCAGGGGCGAATCTTATAAAGTCATGGGTCTGTCCATCAACGTCTTTTTGTGACCGGTTCGTATTGATTGATTGATATGTGGGGTTTAGCGTCCCAAAACCACCTTATGGTTATGGGACACGTCGTAGTGGGGGGCTCCGGAAATTTTGACTACCTGGTGTTCTTTAACATGCCCCCAAACCTCAGCACACAGGCTTACATCTTTTTTTGCCTCCATAGAAAATGCAGCCGCCGCAGCCGGGATTTGATCCCGTGACCTACGGTTCAGCAGCCGAGTACCTTAGCAACTAAACCACTGCGATGGGGCTGTGACCGGTTCGTAACCACCTAGTTGTATGACTCTCAGCAGGTGGCGTTAGTGTGTGACAGACAGACAGACAGACAGACAGACAGACAGACAGACAGACAGACAGACAGACAGACAGACAGACAGACAGACAGACAGACAGACAGACAGACAGACAGACAGACGGATGGACGGACGGACGGGCGGACGGACGGACGGACGGACGGACGGACGGACGGACGGACGGACGGACAGGAGGACGGACGGACGGAATAATAGACGCTTCGCTCCACTCATCATCATTTACTCCATAGATATGCTGTTTTTTTTTGTATCTTGAGAGCCCGATGAGTGGCCCTTTAAACATTGAACATTCGTTATAAACCCATTTGAGAAATATTGCTTTGGCTGGGGTGAGAACGTCTGTGGGTGGAACTTACACAATTATTTTTATGTTGAAATGGACTATAGTGCGTTCTTTGCGCAGGCATTATCTGTTTTTCTGCATGAATTGTGTCCAGGGGCCAACATTGGGGGGGGGGGGGGGGGGCATGCCAAGAGCTTATTTTAAAGAATGACTGAATTCACAAAAACACCTCGGTATTTGCGAAGAACATCGGACAGCTTCATAATTGACTTGAGGGTGAAAAGTAGTAGATCCAAACGGTGGGAGAATAGGAACTCATTTATCGTTGGGAAGCGCGAAAATTCAAAACAGGAAAAAAAAAAAAGGAACTGGACAAGCGCTTAGTCCAGTTTTTCTTCTTTTGTATTTTCTTATGGTGCGCTACCCAACGATGATTAAGGGTGAATGCTTTGGAGATTTCCACCTGAAGCTGCCAGTGATCTTAATTTGGACAAAACGCTTATATTATACTTACCAGCAAAGGATTCGACATCTTAATCAAAGCGCGGACCGGTGCTGTCATGTGACCCATGAAAACCGCTGGTGCCAAAGCGTGCAGAAGTTTGACCTTTCAGTTTGGGTGCCAGCAAAAAGAAAAAAAAAGAAGATGAAATCAGGCTTCTATGAGAATGAGGCTCGTAGGCAATACGCTGCTGACTCTACACTTTATGTTTATTGAATAAATTGTGCAACGTGTAAAGTGATTCGCTGCCCGTCACTCCAGACTGCTCTTCTGTCGTTTCTTAACAAAGACGCTGTTAAAGCTCGAGTCAAACCGTTCCTCCATTCACAAAATACTCTTCACGCCATTGCTCAGCAACAGCCAAGCCACAGCTGCGTACCGCCTATGTTTAACCTCACCTAGCCGCGCATGCGCAGAGGAGCAGCCACAGCTAAGCCACACGCACCGACGAAGATACTCCACGCGGTCGCCGTGCTAAGTTTTCGCGGCGTGCTGTGAGCCGACTACGAGCGATGAAAGGCACGCGCTTCTACCAGGCTTGCCACAGTCAAGTAAGCATGTCAGTTTCTGGCATTTAAGTTTCGAAAATCTCGCGATGTTCACGACAGGCTGTGGTTCGGCTCTACTCAGTATACGCCAAGGAAGGACCAAAAAGTCCACGTTAAGCATCTAAGATAGACAGATCATCTTCGCTGTTTATTATGCCTTACTAGGGCAGTGCACACTTCTTCTTTTTTTTTCAGGTGACAAAATTAACCGACCATAATGAGAGGTTCCGCAGATCTAAAAAAGTTCGAATGCTTATTCGGAAATGCTACAAGCCCAAGAATCTGTTTTGTAGTGATTCTTTTTCCTGAGACAAAAAAAAAAATTATGAATAGCTTGACAGGAACCCAATACTTATACCATCATGAGCAAGAAGTAAGGTTCATCGCTAGACTGATGTGTTTCCGAAAGATTATTAGGCTGTGTTTCGAGAGCTGAGCATGATCTGCATTGAAAGTTCCACCGATATGCTTCACCTTTTCACATTACGATGGTAATTTTCTCGCTAGCTATACTTTCTTATAACTTGGTAAAATTGAAGCCACCGGTAAGTGGCCTAGCATAATTTCACTTTCTTTTTGATATTGTTTTAAGCATGCGTAACTGTAGTTAAATTCCAGGTGAATTCTATTACCTAGAACTGTACAAAGAGAGGACGCTGGCTTATTGTGTGCCTAGATTGCAGATTCACGTGCAAACTATAATTTCTTAAATTCAATTATAGCGCATTTTTTATCATAACAGCTGTAAAAGTGTCAAATACCTTTTCAGTGAATAAAACAGTCATTACCTTTTTGTTGTATTCGGGCCTGTCGGCAAGAAAACCGAACATGATCCCACCTCCCTGTGACCACCCAACAAACTGCAGGGCAGCTTCTCCGGTATGGTACAGTATACTGTCTATTTGCGCCGGTAGATCGTACCGTATCATTTCGTCGAGGCTGAAGAAAGTTTTAGGATAGGGTAAATTACTGACACAGACAGTAAGTAGCATTATCTGTAATGAAATTTCATGCAGAACAAGATATATAACGTAGAGCAGGCACGAATCACGGCGGAAAACGCCGAAAGTGTATGCACTCGGTTTAGGTAAATTTCATTCCCAATAATGCCTTCGCCGTAGACGCATTCACATGGAAACATTTTTGCAGGCTTGGAAAGCGAATGCTGGCAGATTGATATATTTATGTGGTTCGGACTATGTGGCCAAAGTACGTCGGAAAAAACTTCGAGGTTATCAAGGTGGTTACCCGTCCTACACGAGTGTGTCATGGCGCCTAATATGTGAGAGTGGTAAGGCCAACATGGTGATTGGTATTATTGTTCGTCAAAGGCATGCATCTCTATCGAACTGACTTGGGCAGAAGTACTTGTTTATAGGTGAAACAACACAGTTATCAAACTTTATAGTTTATTGCACAAAGGTTGTGTCCAGACCTAAGTTCTTTTGTAGTTAGATGACATCAGGGGGCTGTGAAATCAAGGACAAGGGAAAAATTGAGGTGGATATGTACTCATTGAGGCGGATATGTACTCTTATTTTTTTACTTTTCTCGTTTTTTCTTCGCCTCTTTCTTTCGCTTTGTCTCTTTCTCTCACTTTTCCCTTTCTTTTTTTTTCTTGTTAGGGGCGAAGCTCTTTATAGCGGCACCCATTCATCCCTCGTAGCCGTTGTAGTATGTAACAGGTATAACATTTTGTCCTCCAAGGTAGTGCCGATGAGAAATTTCTTCTGTGCGTTGTTGAACAACAAAAAGTAGTGCTCAATGTACATGCCAATGACTGTTATTGGAGAATGAGAGACTGGAGCATTCGGCTTTTAGTTAACGCGCACGCTCCGATCCCCATTAGCAGCCATTGGCATGTGCATTTAGCACTATCTGACAAGATAAGGTTGCTACATTATACTCGCTGGGTGTAACCTTCTTAGTTTTAGAAAGGTTTAGCGAGCATTGAGCCGCAGTGCCATGAATACAATGAACTAGTATATACCATGAATGAACTCGAGGTGGTTAAAGGGGGGAAGTAGACCCGAAGCGCAAGCCGTAAGAAAGTGTGCGTGTGCTACCTCTCGTTTAGTCCTTGGAATGTCCGCTGAATGGCGGTGCTTCTATATGGGGAATATATGATGAAAAGATGCGAGATGGTGGTACTTGGCGTGTTGAATAGATGGACGAATGGACACAGACAGATGCATGGATGGACGCATGAATGGACGCAGGGGCGGATGCATGGACGAACGCAGGGACGGACGAACGAACAGACGCATGCACGGATGGGCGAATGGACGCATGGATGGTCACACAGACGGACGCATGGACGGACGGAAGCAAGAACGAGTGGACGGACGAATGCTTCGCCCCACTCTCCATCATTCACTCCGTGGAAATGCTGCCATTTGTTGTCTTCACTTCTTTCTCACTCTTCTTATCCTTTTTTCACTTCCTTCTGTTTTTTTCTTCCTGTAACTCTATTTCTTTCACTTTCACTCTTTGATTCTGTCTTTATATATTTTGTCTTTTTCTGTGCTGCTATCTGTTTCGTCCAGCTCTTTGTTTCTTTCTGTCTCTTTCTCCGTATTTCTTCCTTTCATTTGCTCTTTCTTTCTTTCTTTCTTTCTTTCTTTTTTCTTTTTTCTTTCTTTCTTTCTTTGTATACTCGTTCAGTTGGCCATCAGAGTTATTGCATTCCACCAAGGAGAAGTCAACGCACGTGTTCTGAGTGTGAAGCACAAAATTAAAAGAGAGCTTGTGCTGGTTCATAGCGATTATTATTTTTGCTAGTGACTAATGGATATCTTCCAAGCATAATTTCCGTCTTTCCGTCCTGCAACACAAAAATAACGTTTTTCCATTCCATTCCATTTTACAGCGAAAGCTGTTATGAGATCAGAACTCGGGTCACGCGCAGTTGTCTGCCACCTCCGGTGTCCGTAAGCACATCGCGCGAAATAAGAAAAAAAAACTAGCGCCAATACTCAGTGGGGCTCAAAACCGGGTCCGCTGGGTGCCAGCCCAGCATTCTACCACCGAGCTGCACTGGTTTTGTTTCGTTATTTCCGGTTAAACTTCACACACGGGGTGCTAAGATAAATATATAACAATACACAAAGAACAACACAAAAAAATAAAAATAACTAAGGCCGCCAAGCATTACTATAACACATCACGTCCTGGAATTCCTGCATGGTCAGTAGGGCTTCCACCTTTTCTAACCATAAAGGTACACATTCGTCTGTTCTTACTACCTCGAGAAATTTTGAGATACTTTCTTTAAAATACTCTCTTGCTGGTCTCTTGTCAGGCTCTCAGTAAAATCCAGCCATTCTAGAGCGCCATATACTGTGCAAGGCAGTCATCATAACAAAATCGATTGATTGATATGTGGGGTTTAACGTCCCAAAACCACCATATGATTATGAGAGACGCCGTAGTGGAGGGCTCCGGAAATTTCGACCACCTGGGGTTCTTTAACGTGCGCCCAAATCTGAGCACACGGGCCTACACCATTTCCGCCTCCATCGGAAATGCAGCCGCCGCAGCCGGGACTCGAACCCGCGACCTGCGGGCATAATAAAATCGAAAGGTGATCCATCCTCATTCTCTATTGCCAAATACCTGATTCCTTGAGGGTCTAACTGGAACTTTTTTTTAATTGTCCTTTTTTAAACGTCCCAAAAGTAAACTTCTTCCCAACAGTGCAGGAAAACATGGTCAATCGTTTCCGGTTTCCTACAGATTAGACAGCGAGATCCCCAAGGCATATAAAACCTATGCTCCTCTAGGAAGGTTCTTACAGGAAGTGTTCTGGTGTGTAATTTAAAAAAGAGCGTTTTCGCACTTGGAGCTGCCGGCATTTTTTTAACTTGTTTAAGTACATTCTGACCCTTGCCTGCTGTATGTAGCGCTCTGTAGAGTGGGATGGGGAGGATAGTGTCACATAAATCTTTGTATAGTTTTTTTTTCAACAGACCACAAGTAGTCTGTTGAAAAACGAACACACGAAAACCGCACGCTGGCCACAACTTCCTTCATGTATCCATGCACAGCCCCTGTGGTAACATGAGTGCTCACAACAAACTCGGGCAACAGTACACTTAGTCTTGTTTGACACACTGTTAGTAGGACAGGATCTCTTATCTCTCGGAAAAAGAAAAACCTCTTTACCAACTGTTTGATAAACAGTTGTCCTAGCCCAAAGCCCCCACACTTCACCCGTCTAAACAAATTCGTGCGACTGCACCTTTCGACCCCTACGCAAATATTGCAAACACCAGATGTAAATTTTGCACATTGACCCGGGAACAGTACAGCACTGGCATCACACCGAGCTACACCGGTGCTTGTGACTTGTCAAACTTGCCTTAGGCAGACGATGTCGGGAAAGTAATCACGTTAATACGACTTATAAAGCGTTTTAAAACAGCGTAAGAACAACCAGTCGTCGCACAATGCAAATAGCGTAACGAGTGGGCCGTGCAATGCTCCAACCAGTCACAAAAGCCTGTTCTTGTTCCCCTATGGACTGTGGCACATACCCACTTCAGCCGCGATTCCTCATCGTTGACAGCCACGGATACACAATTGACACAAACTACCCTGCAAGTGTTCAGCGGATACCACTCTTCTCAGAAGAATGGCGAAAAATAGAAATAGCGAATGCCGGCCTACTACCCAAATAAATTTATTAATAATGACCTAGTGGGTGTCAAGCAAGTGTGCTTTCAGTAGTTACCCAATGAGCGTTTAGAAAAGGCTCTGAAAGGCCGCTCTTCTAGCTTTCGCTGTGACTATGCTGTGCCTTTTGCGCAGGCCGGGCGTTCTTTTTTTCTCTAGCTCTCTTTCTATGTCTTACGCCCATCAGAGTTATTACATTCTACGACGCTCTAGAAAGCACGTGACGGCTCATGATGACGACAAATGTTTTTTCCCCGAATGACGAAGGCCCTTTTTTTAAAGGACATGTTCGTGTACTTACTTACCAGAAGTTCCAGAACTTTCTTTGTTTCCTTTCTAGGAAGAGATGACGGGAATACTTGGTTCCTCTTACGTTTCCAATCCACACGTCGAAACTGTTGTCAGCTAGGATGAAACCTGAATACAACGGACAAAGAAATGACTACCTCTAGAGTCAACATGTTCAAGTTCAATAACAATATGTGCGTGAGAGTGAATGTTCCCGCGCATGTTGCATTCTGTGAAGAAACCTGCATACGAGCGAATGGGTCACATAAATGAAATTGTCTCTCTTTGAAATATAATGAATATTACTTTCGGATTGAACTAGGTATACAATCTAACACCTTTATACGTGCAAACTTTTAAGAAATCTGTCTCTTGGAAGCTTGATGTGCGTAAAAGATTCCAAGTTGGAACTAGGTGTGAATTTATTTGTTATTTGGTGTGGATTTATATTGTTATGTATGGTGTTCGTGAAAATTAACCTGTGATAATGCCTCAGTGCACTTCAGAAACTTGAAAGGCAAGTCTTTTTCAAGGTGACAGTCTCAAGACTCGCAAATTTTCGCAAACAGAGAACTGTCTTGTGCAGGTTCCATCGTCAATTCTACAAATCATAATTTACCTAATTTACTTAATTTTACTAATTATTAATGAGTCAACCTCATTTTATTCATTCCGTATTTCAACGAAAATTCCACGAAAATAACATATTTTCACTAGGCAACCTTCTATAAGGCAAATATTCTTTTAGTGAAGGTTCACGCTTTCTATGCCTTTTTAAACCTTTTACGGCTGCTGGAGCCGTGGTTGTGGTGCTCGAAGGCTGATCCCAAGGTTGCGGGATGTAAGCACGGCAGCCACATTTCGATGGAGGGGATATGCCAGAGTTCCGTGTAATTAGCTTTAGGGGGCCGTTAAGGGAACTCCTGGTGTCGAAATTTCCAGAATACAATCACATAGTGGCTACGGGCATAAAACCACGATAATTATTAGTGGCATCCGTATACTGCAGTACCAGGGCGGATAGCGACGTTTTGGAATGCTGTGTTCGTTTATTTATTTATTTATTTTATTTATTCATTCATACTGTCAGCCCAAGGGCCCAGACAGGAGTTGGGGTTACATATCTGGCATGTACAAAGAACCAACCAACAAGGAACAAGCAATTTGGTTACAAATATTCTGACAAAGCCTTTTCGAACCTTTGTAAATCGCAATGTTCGACTATGTATTGAGGTAATTGAATGTATTGTTTGAATGCGAAGCCTCGTTTTGTGTGAGTATTTTCGCCAAATGAAAAAGTAAACAGAGATTCATCTCAAGAACTGTGTTGCTAAAAACGTTTTACACCATCAGTTAGGCAGAATGTGACAGCTCGCGGCACTCATTTATTACTGTTTTTGCCCAGGTGGTCAAAATTTCCGGAGCCCTTCACTACGGTGTCTCTCATAATCAGATAGTGGTTTTGGGACGTTAAACCCCACACATCTATCTATGACTGTTTTCTATCGTTAGATGCTGCTTCATAATGCGTAGCTAGAACAGCTGATGCTGCGCAGCGTAATAACGTAATAGGTATCACGTACCCATCGACCCTTACCGAGACTCTGGTGCGGCAGGTTCACAACATAGTCTGCACTGCAGCCCTCCAATCCGCTCATCAAAAACACGACTGGCTTTCGTTTTCTAATTCCACCTGCAGTGGCTCCTCGTCCAGCCGGTATTCTCTGCACCGTGATGATGTACCAGTCTTCCGTCATGATATCATACTCTTCGACAGGGTACCCCTGGCTAGCTATTAGCTGTGCCTGTGAAATATAGAAATACGGAAGCACGTTATAATGTAGCTTTGCTATAACTTTATACCTAAAAAGGTTAAAGTAGTAAAGATAGAATTTTCATTTCAGCCATAGTTAGAGCACGAGTATTTTGACCTTCTGCGCGACCAGTTTACACTGTTCTTTTCCTCCGGTGCCAGCACTGTCGAGCAAGTGGTGACAGAAATGGAAGGAGGGTAAAAGCTGGATTGATAATCAGCTGGGCTGCAGCGTAAAAGTGTGGGAAATATATGCATGTGAAGAGATAATTTTGTAGTAGCATAAGCGAGGCAGCATACAACTTAAATACGCGATGCTTACATGCGGAGTGGTTAATCTATATAAAACAAATTCGTGGCAGAATCCTAAACTAAACAAGAATCAGACGAACTAGGCAAAGATATATTAGATGGTTCTTCAACTGATCAGAGTTATGGTCCGGTACGCCCATCAAGGTAAGTTCGCACGGCCGTTTAAACAAGCGCGTTCGATAACGTTTTCATAAATTCAAAGCTAATATTGAGTACCATTTTTATTTAAATTTAGGTTTTGCTCCAGATCATCACCGTGTTAACAAATTGTTGCAGGTCCGTATGACAACGAAGCGGCACTGGTGTCACATGGCAGGCATTAAGAAGAATGGAAAAAGTAAGTTGCGGTTGGTCATAAACTATTCAACACACAGCGCGCATATTTAAATTTTTTGTGGACCATGCAAGCTTTGTAAAATTTTAGAAAGAAGTATGCGCTTACTTACTGTGCTCTTGAAGGCATCTTTATCAACTGTGCTCTCTGTGTGTCTAATCTTGGCTATACACAGAAAAATTAGGCTCTGAATGTATAGTTTTTTCATGCCTAGAGTATTGGGGTTTGTGAAAAGCATACTGCTGTTATCACTGTGAAATTATTGAAAAATAGTTAGTATAACAACATAAGGGTATTGAACGCGATGAACGGTATTCACTAGTGCTCGTAGAATAGAGAAATTAATCATAACAGTGAAAAAATCCGGGTAGAAAAACTAGGCATCGAGTTGTAACTTCTATGTATATTCATAAAGCTCATAATACCCAGATGCTCCGGCGAAAGACACCGAACACTGTCAGTACTGCTTCTGTTTTGCTTGCTTAAGCAATATATCATTGTTCATTGTTCAGGATAATGACAAGCACACTTGTCTCCATTGTGCTCTACTACAGCCCAGATCTTTTCCAAAATAGTTACATGCTGCACACAACGACTACGCTCTACACTTGTGTCTTACGTTCTGCGCATGTCATCTATCAGTTTCAGTGTTGCTGCGAACTTGTAATTCAACTCTAAGCGATAAATTAGTTTTTTGCATTATGAATTCTCCTTTGAACCTGGCCATTAGAAAATGCGGCACCGGTGAATGGCCAGTTTTTAGCATTGACGATGAGAAAGCGATCCACAATAACATGAGCTTGAGTGTTATATAGGAGTGTGTTCTTCGACGATACGGTGCACCTAACTATAGTGCCCGACATTCACAGTACTGTACACAAGTGCTTTATTCTCGGACATCATCGAAATGTAAGACTTAATTCCCTTGTTCGCCCTTCCGCATAGGTAGAGCCATCCAGCGATCTCATAATGTTGAGCATTCGTTGTGAAAAAAAAAAAGCTGTCTCTTCAGCAGGGTCTCGATTCACTTGTGTGAGCTCAGCTGATCATATTGAAACCACGCCATGAAGTTGTACAAGGAATACTGTTACGAGAAAGATCCACTCGACTGAGTAAGTAACGATGTATTTTCAATTGGTTGAGCGAGCAGCGCTGCTGATGCGATCAACTCGCGCCAGTCTATCGTCTTTGTCGCCCTCCCCTTGGTCTGTTATGGCGCGATTCCACAGGCATGAAGAGTTACCCCCGTTGTCGAAAGCACCATCACGGAGCTTTAAAGATCGTTTACATAAGCGTTGTAGGGTTGGAGTCGTGTGACGTGAACAACATGACTGGAAGGAGCGGATGACGATGGACAAATCGGGCCAATCTCGTAGGTAACAGGTGACTCTTCACGAAGCACCCAGTGAGGCCCCGTTTGACGATACAATGTTGTCGAGATAAATTATGAATCTACAATGGCACGTACGTCACTGGCAAGTTCGTCGAAGAGATTTAATTATATTTTATAGGGCTACACACTGTGACCAACTTGGGGCTCAAATTTAACTTAAGAGTCCTTTTATTGCGAATTTGAAATATATCACACAGTAACACAGCTTTGACCAAATGGCTATTGTTGTGGCTTTTTTGGGGGGGAGGGGGGGGAAGGGAGATCCTTTAGACTACGGCCTGAAAATGCACACTATTATTCATCTCGAATAGGTCCAGTAGCTCCGTGATGTTTAAAAAAGAAACGAAAATAGAAAGCTTTGCTCAGAGTTTATAGCAGCTAGAGCAATTATTTAGACATTACAGAATGCAGTTTCTCCGCATACCTCTTTAACTCAGCGTAAATAATAAAAAACTGCAGCCCCTGAAAAATAAATTGATACATTTGCTAAGCATAGTGAAAGTATTTGATGCTCTTCATTTATTTTAACCATTTGACAGTTCAGCTGCAGAAAGCACAGCCAGTGCAGAACTAGTGTACTTCATCATCATTTCGAAAATCTTTTTGTAGAGGTGTTTGTAGGCGGTGATACTCCATACGACGTCAAAGTGTGTGAAGCCGTGCATGGGCACTTTGTAGTTGAGGACAACGTTAGGCAGTCTTTTTGCGAGGAGAGCTACGTCGCGAGGTGTGACAAACACGTCTCCGTCGCCCCAGTAGATGGCTACTGGCACTGTCACTTTCTTCAAGTTGTACCTGGGTGGTAGTAGCTGTAACAGAAAAAACACCCCAAGTGAAAGCGCCAATTAAGACTGCATTATGGCGTACGCAAAAAATCAATAAAAATGTTAGAGTGGGCGTCATAGGTAACAAGAGTATAAAGTTGGACATATTGGTAATGCATAACTGATCCCGTAGCGCGAAAAATTGACACAGGACAAGGGAAGCCACCAAGATGAGTGCCGCGCTTCAAATGCCCTTTCCTTTCCTGCGTCAAATTTTTGCGCTTCATGATCAGTCATCAGTCCCCAATCACCTGAATTACCATCTTTGTATCGAGCCCTTCTGGCATTTCACCGACGTTTGGAAGCTACGTGCCCAGAGATAGAGGTGGCCGATTCTAAAGTGGTGGACACAATGGCCGCCCTTCTACGGCCCTTGGTGCCCCAGCATCGTCAATCTGTATTGAACCGCGCTTGGAAACCAATAACTGCCGCAGTGTTGCCAGGGCATCTCAGAGACTTTGTCTGGAGGTTGGGCTGGGGCTTGCTCCCCACGCGAGATCGATTGCAGCGATGGCAGGTAGTTCGCACTTCCACTTGCCCCAACTGCGTCATGGTAGAGACCAATCGACATGCGACGTTTGAATGTGTGGTTTCCCGCCTTTTTTGGCGTGCGGTTAATGCTGGTTTTCGGGGGCAGGGTGTGCGAACTTTCGTGTCCAACGGCCGATTTCCGCGTAGCCGCTTCTCCGCTCTCTTAATAGTTGCGGGGCTGTTCAGCCTTTGGAGAAACCGATGTGAGGCCGTAGCTGCCAATTGCCGCCGGCGTGCCTTGTGGCCGATACTGGGGAGAATGAGACGAGAGATCCTCGCGTTCCTCTCCGAAGAGCTTTTCTTCCTCGGGGAGCAAGAGTTTCTGCGGCATTGGTCGTGCCCTTTAGTCAAGGTGGAACACGAAAGGATACAACTCATTTTTCGACCGACTTGGTGCTAAGCAGCGCCCGTTGAGTTGTTATATATGATTTCATTTATTACAAATTGTGTTTCATTTGGATCTATTGTATCGTTATACTTTTTCATCGTGATATCACATTCAATTTTTGTGTACATGTATGCCACATAATCATGTATATTAGAGCAAATGTCTTCACTGTAACGTAGTGATGTTAGTCGTGAAATATAGATGTGCCGAAGTGTATGTGCCCTGTTACTGGAATGGTATGAAGCTTTGTGTTCTGTACATGCTGTAAATAAACTTTTTCTAAACATAAGAGAACGCTTGCAACCATGGAGCCCGTTGTCGCACTGACAAGGGACCATGCATGAGTCAGCTGTGTAATTGCGGTGCGATCACCATATGTGGGCTCGCAAGGCAGTCGTGTGGTGTTCGCTACATTGATTCGCGTGACCCTCTTAAGTTTGGGAGATGATTCTGCCATCTTCAGTTTTCATTAACAAAAAAGAAGGCCTATACCTATAGAATTGTTCGTTAAAGTAAATGCAGTTAATCCTAATGCTGGAAGTACTATTAGTAAAGGCGGCCCACAAAGTGATGTATGTCAGCGGAAGCGTGACTTATTAAGTTAAGCTGCTGATTGCTAGCTGCTCATATGCTGTATATGTGGTGGTATACAGCGTGGCATGTCTATCAGTGTTCACATGCACAGTACAGCAGAAAATATAACATGCATGACAAGGAAATAGTGCGGCGGTTCTCGCGCAGAATGATAGATTGCACTTTTGTTGAAGTAATTTGCCAGCTAGTGTAAATATTTGTGTTGAAAGGCCAAAATACGATGCTTTTGTCACTACTATCTAAATACGTTTTGCGATTAATGTTCCTCAAACATTTGTAAGGCTAAAAACAGGTGAAAGAAAATGCTCTTGCAGCACTAGTGTGTTTGGCCTGACTGCCATTAGTGCAGAAATGAATTGTAGATTTATTAAATCCGGCATTTTTGGGTAACAAAAATTGTTTCACAGAAATACGTACCTTTTTGTACACTTGCCAGTTCTTTTTTGCTCCCCAGTCAAACTTTTGAAACCTTTTTGTCTTCGTCAGCTGCAACAAATAATGAAATGAAAGCGTGAACTCGTGTACAAATGTCAGCTGCTGTAGTGTGTGCTTCAAGTCAGCTTCAACTCACACCAGTTCCTTGCTGTTGTTTACTAAGTTATTAGTTTTGAGTAATTGTGAGCTTAAAATATGTTTTCGTAATCTGTAGGCCTAAACAATAAGCTGAATATGCTACACTTTGACCATGTGCATAAAACTTAAAAAAAAACAGACATGGTAACATAAAGACAGCCACTATCTCCGCCGTATGAGTGGTTTTGTCTAAGAAAGTACAGTGCTCAGCCTCTTAGATTAGCGAAACTTTTCATTGTCTACGCATGCCCCTAGCGGCTTCTTTGTAGAAAGAGCGTGACCGACATTTAAATCATTGCTTATGAGTGCACATGTATGGTAAAACTATAGGTATTGACAGAAGTATACGTATTGTGATAAGAAATCATTGCACAATAAGGAGGTGGAGGCGTAGTACGTTTCGAAGCATATTGTCAGTGCACTGAAAACACGATAGTATTTCGAAGAACACTCGTATTGCTGTGCGAGAAAAACTCCTTAACCTTCTTTTTGATGGCATTTCATGTTATGAAGCGAAAGCTTCACATGCTTCATCAAACACGAAATGTGACCGTCATGGGCGGCGTCAGTGTCTTCAAGACGGGGCAATGGCAGGAATCATCATGCTAGCACGTCGTCATAACGTAGTAGGTCGCAAACACCAATGGAGATAGTCCGCGCTGCCACTGGGCCGAGTGTGCTCGCCACGCGAGTCGAGCGTGAGCAACAAAACTGTGGAGGAGCAAAGCTTATAGGGAAGACCATTTCAGCTCGGCTATAGGGTGAAACCTGGGGAGGGTTGAAGGATGCAGTGCTCTTTTAATTGACGCGCACGCGGTGGTTCTTTATTGTTCAACTACGCAGAACAGAAATCTCCCACCGGCACTTCACTGAAGGCAGAGATCCAGTGCCTGGTGAGTGGTTATGCAGTCCGTTGTCCGCTCTTTGTCGCCACGGGTCGAGCGCTGAGATGGTAGCGACAAAAAAGTGGTATCTTGCGCTAAAGCAAAGTGACCGTCACGACACCACCAGGCAGCAGTAGATGACGGATGGAAGACGCTGGCGCGTTGGAACTCAAAGTGCGTTGCTTCTAATATGGCATCACTAGGACGTCAAATACGTGACACTGCACGATGTCGCTATCACACGAGCTCGTCGCTTGGTCCAATTTGGGCTGATCTTGGAGGTGGTGCTGCGAAACCACGTGAGATGGAGAAAGCAGCCGTGCCTTCGATCCTGGAGGCAGCGCTAAACCCCGTTAGCCGCACAAAGCTGTTGGCATGTCCGTCCGTCCGTCGGTCCGTCTGTCCATCCATCCATCCATCCATCCATCCATCGATCCATCCATCCATCCATCCATCCATCCATCCATCCATCCATCCATCCATCCATCCATCCATCCGTCCGTCCGTTCGTACGTCTATCCATCCATCCATCCATCCATCCATCCATCCATCCATCCATCCATCCATCCATCCATCCACCCATCCATCCATCCATCCATCCATCCATCCATCCATCCATCCATCCATCCATCCATCCATCCATCCATCCATCCATCCATCCATCTATCCATTCGTCCGTCCGTCCGTCCGTCCGTCCGTCCCTCCGTCAATCCCCCCGTCCGTCATTCCATCCATCCATCTGTCTGTCTGTCTGTCTGTCTGTCTGTCTGTCTGTCTGTCTGTCTGTCTGTCTGTCTGTCCATCCAGCCATCTATCGGCTTACGTCTGGGTGTTATCGTGATCGTGATCACCCCTTAACTTGGCATGAACCAAACATAGTAAGATGGTTTGATGAATATGACGTGCTAAGACATGAACAATGTCACAATCGCATCGCGTACATCGCCGAATACTTTCCGCCAGACGTGTGGCACATACCCACGGGTATGTGCCACAGGTGATTGACAGTTTTATTTATTTATTTATTTATTTATTTATTTATTTATTTATTTATTCAATACTGCCAGCCACCCTTTGGCAGCCAGGGCAGGAGTGGTACAGTGCAGAGTTTGAATACAAAGTTTACACGCGACCAGTAACACGGTCCGTTGTACACAGGGAAGCAATAATGCAGTAAGCTTTCAGATTGTCACGACACACACACACAAGCGCGCGCAATCAGTATCACGGCCCACGATTCGCAAAGCAGTACTAATTCTCGTTACAGATAGCTACGTGAATATACAATAAAACCAATGTTATGTTTACCCAGGAACGACGAGAACAGACACCTGCAATTTTAACACGTGAACCTTATAAAAAAACTGACATTGGCAGCGTTGTCCCGACAAATGCAAATAATAAATATGAGAGTTACAACAGAAATCAAACACCAGCATTCTGCGTGGCAATGAATTATTCAACCACAGAGCCACGCCAGGTCTTCAGGCTATCCACATGAACCCTCATGATCGTCAAACGTCAATTGTGGTTGCAGTGCTGGCTATTCAATTTCGTGAACTTTACATATATACTCCTATGATACAGCCGTTTCGTCAGATTAACGTCAATTTTAATTAGATGCCATGCGCTGAAGTTGATTTATGTTGCTAGGTCTACCATCCTCGCGAGCACCAGCGCTTCATATCAGCTTATGGCTTTGGTGTTGCTAATACTCATGTTCCTGCTGGAATGGTTGCGCAAATGCTAACAACTTGTCAAATAAACATCTGCAACTCTTCAACATATCTCTGCGCGTGCAACATTCATACAGGTATTCAGCGTCATTTCATGACGGGTCACTCAATAAAAAATTACAGCACGTTCACCTTCCCTCCGCATGCTTCGCACAATGTCGATTACGAATGTGCACAGGATCTGCCAATTTCTTGTTCTTTGTTGGCTGTTTTCACATTTGCACTGGGGAAATAGGTATTTTTCTCCCACGCACGTCCCTATAAATTATGTAGGTTATCAAGACGAAAAAGCTCGTGCGCGGGCTCACAAGCAAGTGCATACCTGAGCGTAGTGAAGCAGATTTCGCATAGATGTTCCAGATGGTGTGTTGCCCATATACACAGGTAGCCTCGTCTGTGGAGAAACCAAAGAGGAGGTTGTGAAGGTCATATTGCGAAGGTTGCTATTCCGGGTCAGTTCATATTTAGCTGTATTCGTGAAGTAGACTGTTACTTCCACATACTGAAAGCTGGTTCTTCAATATTATGCTTGGGTGCTGGGTCTCATCAAGGGACGTTAAATTGATGAAACGGGACTAGAGATGTAGAAACTTTATACTATGCTCCTAGCACAAGGTGGAATTGACGTCATACCTAAGTTTCATGTATCCCCGAAATTTTGGGACACATTTCTGTTTGGCTGATGGTTTGACTGAAGCGGTGCACGAAACAATGTCCCTCTTTCTTTTCAATATGGTAAAATACGGGCAAGTTGGTTCGACATCATGCTTCGGAGAGCGCGGATATGGTTAAGAGAAGAACACAGGATAGAAAGGACCTTCAATGACAGCGTTCTATCAGCTTCTAGGATGATCAAGGACAGAAAGAAGTGCGTCCTTTCTACGTTCTTCTCTTAATCGAATCAAACTTCACGAAGCGAGATTCCTCTTTTTTTTTGCTTCCTCTTTTTTGTTGACTTGTGAATGCCATGTTCGAACTTATATTGGGTGTCTGTCGTGCTCTAACTGATCACCTAGAAACTTTTATCAAGTCAGCCAGATTTCTGTCCAACACGTTTATAGTTCGTGAACTGAATGTACAGATGCGTCCAGACATTCAGTAACCATCGTTTGAGCGTGTTCTGTTAGGACTTATTAAATAATAAAGGACTCGCAAATGTAAAGAAATGGGGATATGGAGGTGTGACATGGTCTTGAACTGCGAGTATAAAGTAACTTTTTTTTGTCAGAAATTTGTGAAGCGTCATTGATGGAAACATAGTTTTTAAGTCAAGGGGAGGTTTTTTTTCTATTTGGTTTGCTAGCCTGTGAAAGACACAAATATCGTAATTTCAAGAGACCAACTTCAGCTTAGAGTTTCAGCTGCTAGAGCGACTGAGCAGTGTTTGAAATGTGACGCACTAAATGCATTAGCACCCGTGTGTAGGTGTTGCATATTGCGCATTCAGTTTTCATTCTTTGCCGGTGTTCACGTATTCTCTTCTTGAGAATATACAGCCAGAATGTGTCTGTGCGTAATCACACAGGTTGGCACAGACTACCAAAAGGCAATGTTTTATAAATTGTGTACTCAATAAAATACAAGTGTCTTAAGTACCAAACAGTTCTCTACGCATTTATAATACGCTGAGCACTCCTTGGGTTAACTTCCTCGACGGTTGTTCGAAGTGAGACGTCTTCGGTGATTTAAAACGGCAGGCTACAGGAGAGTTGGCAAAATCTTTTGTGGAGTGAGTGGGGATAATTTTCAATTACCAACCTCGTCCTCATCGCGCTGTCCATGTCAGAAAATCTACGCTGATAATGAACTAGGTTGACGCACAACAAGTGAGGCGTATCGTGTTTGTTCTGATAACGGATTGGGTTTCACTGACTTTGCCTTCACTGTCATTTTTATTTGCCAAACTTGCCCCAGCAAGTTCAGCATTCGTTAACTTTCTAAATCCTAATAATCGTAGCATTGATAAAAATTGCAGTGACGTTAAAGAACCCCAGGAGGTCTAAATTTCCGGAGCCCTCCACTACGGCGTCTCTCATAATCATATAGTGGTTTTGGGACGTTAAACCCCACATATCAATCAAAAAATTGCAGTGATGGCAATATCGCTACTTGCCTACAAATACAGCTTTATTACAACCCTCCGCAAATGCGGCCTTCTTTGTGTGGGTCTGAGCAAACGTAAAATAAGTAATTAAACAATAACCGAAAAACCTGAAACTGATTCTATGAATTATACATACGAACTAATGCGTTCAGTTATCGTTTGTGGATTTCGGAAATAATGCTGCCACTGTACCATATGCTAGTTCTAATGGCAAGCAAATGACTGATGCATTAAAAATGGCCGAAGAACGAGAAATTTCAATACCAAATGAAATTGTATCTGCCTAAAACTAGGAAAACATGGGCTATTATGAGTGAAGAAAAATTAGGTGGAAATGACAGTTTTTTTATTCTTCCCCTTCAAGACATCCCCCTGCGAAACTTGTTTGCACACTCCGTAGAAAAATCAGGAGGCTAAATAACAAGTATTTGATGTAGGTAGAAATGTCTGCCCACTTGTAGTTGAGTACACACTAGTTAGTGCTGAAAAGATAACGTGGAGAATATACTTTCAAAACTTGGCTGATAAGTTGTAAGGTTACCATGTTTATGTCGATGGGGTACCCTCTATTGACGAAAATAAAAGCCGCCGTGCAGGAAATGCTTGGTATAACTGGATTGCACGCGAGCTGCTTCATTGTATCGATAAATGGAAGATGTTTTCCCAGCAATGATCCCCCGAGTACGAATTGGCCGGCTTTCTGAAAGAAAAAAAAAGCATGCGTATTTATAAATTGTTTGCATCTTACACCGTGGTATTTACTAAGCAACAACGGATAAGCCAAGCTTCCTGCTTGTCACAAGAACGTTATTAATCTATTAACTAATTCTTTAGAAAACCTGCTCATGTCTCGACACTTGTAAGCGAAGCAACCGTGAAAGATGATGTCCTCCTCGGTGTCTTAAGACTGTGAATGGCGAGGAGCGACTGTAGCAAGGAACACTATTGTGTCACTCCTCACATAAAGGGACAATAAAAAACACGGACAATATTCATTTGACTAAGCTGCCAATGTTTTTGTGCTGCTCTATATTTTAGAGATCGCCTATGCTCGAGAACCGTCGAAGCCTTCAGACCGCGCATCAAACGAGAACATATAGGCCCCGCATATTGGAGAACAACCAATTCGTAGGAAAATACAAAAAGAAAAGCAATGCAATAAATGGGATACTTACGTAAATTTGTTTGGATATCGGCTCGAGACGCTTCATCGGCGACGTCATGTGTCCCAGAAATACAGCTGGTGCAATGGCGTGGAAAAGTTGAACCTGTTGCACACACAAAAAAGATAATATCGTGGCACTTGAGTGGTGAGAAGCCAGTGTGCTCAGATTTTGGTGCACGTTAAAAAACCCCCAGGTGGTCGAAATTTCCGGAGCCCTCCACTACGGCGTCCCTCATAATCATATGGTGGTTTTGGGACGTTAAACCCCACATATCAATCAATCAATCGATCAATCAATCAATCAATCAATCAATCAATTATTCAATAAATAAATAAATAAATAAATAAATAAATCAAATAACCAATCAATCAATCAATCAATCGAGCGGCGAGAAGATGCAGTGATTCCCGTGCATTTATTTATGAACGAAAAGACACACTTACGAAAGTTAACAGCTCCGAACTATGTGTACCCAATATTTGCTGTGTCATTCAGAGGAGGAGTTGCACCATTTGATCGTAAGGCCTTTGATCGTAAGGCACCATTTCATCGTAAGCGCGAATCTCTCGTTGAGGAAAGAAGTGGCAAAATCAGTCTGTTTCATAGAATCAGTGTGATCCTCGAACAATGCACATCACAAAATGGTAACCTAGCTGACACTCTAACTGCAAATACTTTCATCAGATTCACTTGCACATTTGTATCTGTTTATATTCGTTTCTTTCATTCTTTTCTTCACTCTGTTCTGAAACCACTTTGTCCCCATCCCTATCCCTATAGAGAGCAGCATGCCAACGGTATATAAACGTCAGCAAAAATTTCAGTTTTTTTTATTATAACGAGTCTCTCTCTCTCTGACTCGGAAGTGGTGGTGTAGTGGTTACGGCACTCGGCTGCTGACTCGAAGGTCACGGGTTCGATCCCCGCCACAGCACACGGGTTTTGATGAAGGTGAACTGTATAAAAGGATCGTGTACTTAGCGATACCACGTGGGGAATACCACGTGACCACGAGTGTCTTCATCTTGGAAAATGGTCCTGCGCCTCAAGTTTTGGTGTGTCCTGATTGTGAGGGCATGCACTTTTCACTGTAGAGCGCGAGTGGTGTGGTACCCTCCCAAGCTCATTTACATGTTAGCGTACTAGAATGGGGGACACAATTTCCCCAATGCTATTTACCGCGTGCTTACAGGAGGTTTTCAGAAGCCTAGAGTGGGAACAGTTAGGGATAAGAGTTAATGGAAAATACCTTAGTAACCTGCGCTTTGCCGATGACATTGCATCGCTCAGTAACTCAGGAGACGAATTGCAACTCATGATTACGGAGTTAGACAAGGAGAGCAGAAAGGTGGGTCTTAAAATTAATCTGCAGAAAACGAAAGTAATGTACAACAACCTCGGAAAGGAGCAGTGCTTCGAGATAAGTAATAGTGCACTTGAAGTTGTAAAAGACTATGTCTACTTAGGGCAGGTAATAACCGCAGAGCCGAACCACGAGATTGAAGTAACTAGAAGAATAAGAATGGGGTGCAGCACATTCGGCAAGCACTCTCAAATTATGACAGGTAGATTGCCACTATCCCTCAAGAGGAAGGTATATAACAGCTGTATCTTGCCGGTACTTAGCTACGGAGCAGAAACCTGGAGACTTACAAAGAGGGTTCAGCTTAAATTGAGGACGACGCAGCGAGCAATGGAAAGAAAAATGGTAGGTGTAACCTTAAGAGACAAAAAGAGAGCAGAGTAGATTAGGGAACAAACGGGGGTTGAGGATATCATAGCTGAAATAAAGAAGAGCAAACGGACATGGGCCGGGCATGTAGCGCGTAGACAGGATAACCGCTGGTCATTAAGGGTAACTAACTGAATTCCCAGAGAAGGAAAGCGGGTTAGGGGGAGACAGAAGGTTAGGTGGGCAGACGAGATTAAGAAGTTTGCGGGTATAAATTGGCAGCAGCAAGCGCAGGACCGGGTTGACTGGCGGAGCATGGGAGAGGCCTTTGTCCTGCAGTGGACGTAGTCAGGCTGATGATGATGATGATGATGATGATACTAGAATGGCTAAATATTTAGCGCGGCTGGTATGTTCACCGGCATATGGCCAGTGGTGGAGCAATGGGAAGTTAAACTAAGAATAAACTTTCCAAACGCCTATAATATTTGTCGCAGATGCAGTAGAGGCGACAGCTAAATTGTATACAACCAAATAGATGATGCCAAAGTTCACGAAGAGAGTTAGAATTGAAACAATCAATATTACAAGATTAGTAGTAAGCGTTCGGAAAATCGCCGAACATTTAGACTGACGAACCCGAGGAACGCACCGCGATTATCGAATCAGGCCTAAATAATTTACATTGTAAAATTAGACCTGCTAAGTGCGCCGAAGAGCATACAGTCCAGTGGATATGTAAGGTCTTAGCAAAATAGCATATTGGGGTGGCACACATGTAGTGTGTGAGCACGACACTTTAGTTTCGTATTCTGTTTTTTTAGTGTTTCATTTTTCGCTATCTTTTGTATTCTCTCTCTTTCTCTTTGTAACATCTCTTTTCTATCATCTTTTATACCCCTTACCCTCCTCCCCTGCACAAGGTAGCCAGCTGGTCTAAGAACTGACTAACCTGCCCGTACTTCGTCTTATTTACTTCCTCCTCCTCGTCCTCGGTTCGTCCCGTGTGTATTATTATTCTGGACGTCGAACGTCTCCTTGATAACTAAAAGTGAGAAGCTTTACTCGCCAGGGAATGGCAATCTGGCTTTGGAGTTAAGGTTTTGTGAATAAATATAATATATCAACAAGACTACGTTGAATCTATTCTTAACACCGACTGATAGTTTTGGTGAAGCGCGTCGTAATTATGGCATATTGTAGTCATTCTCACCTTCTTGTTGTATTCGGGTCTCTCAGCAAGCAAGGCAAACAAAATGGCACATCCCTGGGACCACCCTACGTATTGCAGTGAGGACTGCTGCGTTGTCTTCAAGACCCAGTCCAGTTGGGCAGGTAAGTCGTACGCGGCCATTTCATCAATGCTGAAACATCGACGTGTAAAAATGTTGGTAAGATGCTGCTCCAAAAAATTGTGTAAAACTCTATGCTAATTTTATTCACAACAGAAAGAGAGAGAGAGTGAGAATTTATTGGAAGGTAGAGAGGCTGAGCTAGTTCGCTCCAGCCTGCTACTCTACACAGGGGATAAGCGAAGGGGGAAGGAAAGAGGATTGATTCAGGGATGACGATGGGGACAGGAAGAGATGTAGAGCCGCAGCCATGTCTTTGTAGAGCGTGCGAGCAGTCGGTTTTTGCTGTGTGGGGCGAAACCTTGGGTCAGTTTCTAACTCTGAAGTGGTCTCAGGAACGTGCGTGGCCTAGTTTTCAGGCTGACCAAGTCAGAGCCCCATACTGCCTCCAGGTTTCACCCCAGAGAGTGAAAACCGGCTTCTCACGTGTTCTACACAGACGTAGCCGCGGTTGTACAGTAGCCACGTTGCATAGTATTCACAACAGAAAGTGATGACGTAAGCATACGGAAACAAATGCAGAAAGGACAACATTAAAATTGTATTTCTTGGCAAACATCACGGCTTTCTCGATGTATTCATGTAAGTTCGTAATTTAATATTTTACATTTTAAAGATTTATGCACGGTGTAACTGCAGTCATGGCGTTGCAGCGTGGGAAAAGCATCCGTGTTTGAGGCATAAAAAAAAAAATAACAGGTGAACCTTGAATGTCGAAGTACATCTCTCACTGACTCACTCGAGTATCACACCGGATTTTGTGAGAACATACTTAAGTGACCAACAGCTGCGTGCTTAAGGATTTACTTGTAAACAATAACGGCCTGTGCGGTATAGTAACGCAATATGTAAAGGAACCGAAACACAATGTACAACAATAGTGGCTAAAGGTTGGTGATTAACACATATCAGGAAATCTGCAGGCAGATATGACATCAGCAGACACCAGACCGCCTCTGTTGAAGATTTCATCAAGTGCCTTTTGCCACAGTGTCCGTAAAATAGGCTGATCAATTAGAGAATATATAATAGTAAAAAGTCATTATTTTTGCAGCTACTATTGCGATTGCTATTAGACACACACATTGTGCCTATTTTTGCACCAACCGTGTTCTATGACAAAAGGTATGAAATAATCCTAACAGGAGAACCACATAAATAAAATTCAGTCGAGTTTAGTGTTAAAATAATATATGTCATGCAGTGAAGAGGAATGCCAACTACGGCAGCGGCATCGACACGTTGGCGCGAAGCGTGAGCTAAGGCTGCCTGGTTGCTGCTGCGACGCTGCCCGTATACTCGGCCTGCTCTTGCTGCTTCTGTACCGACGCTGCTACCACCTTCGACCTTGCATTTACATTATATTTTGGTGGAGATTGCTGCGGTCTTCCCCAGTCCTTCAACTGCGTAGCCGAAAGCTGCCGTCCGTCATGCTTGACGACGCTGTCTTCACACCCCCACCGGCTTCGCCACGCAGGGGGTGTCCCGGTGCCCAGCTCTTGCGAGAACCCGACATGGCATAAACTGGTGAATGTGGGCAACTGTGGGCGCAGGTTAGCCAGATGAGGACAGAGGACGTTCGAGGACAACGAGAGACTTTTATACACACAAAGACGGACAAATGGATACACACAACATAAACTCACACAGATATACACGCGCTAACGGTCCTACCCGAAGAGAGTTATTGTTCTTGTTCGTTCACTCACATTCTACTCTTGGGGCGTGAACGTTGCTCTTCACCTTGAGCTCTCTGGTAGTCAGGAGGCGCGATGCCTGGTGCTTGCGGAGTTCCTACCGAGGCGGGGCTCGGTCTAGAAGATAACCGCCAGGGCCATCCCAGTACGGTGGTCAACGCCTGGGCTTGCCACCGAGAACAGCGTACCGCCGACTGCCGCGAACAGAGCTGGGACAGCGTCTCGCTCCGAGACCAGAACAGCAGCTGGTCGTGACGAACGCCGCTTCAGACCAACGTGGGTGCGAGGTGGGGCGATGCCCAGTCCAGGACGCAGCCGAGGACTTCAACGCCGGGACGAGGCCCGGACACGGAGGGTCGGAACGAGCAGCCGGGGCGTGGCCCGAACCTGCCCTAGCTCTCTGCTCTCTGGCGAGGTGGGGCGATGCCCAGTCCAGGACGCACCTGAGGACTTCAACGCCGGGACGAGGCCCGGACACGGAGGGTCAGAACGAGCAGCCGGGGCGTGGCCCGAACCTTTCCTTGCGTTCTGCTCTCTGGGGTCAGCCGAGCTGTCCCCGTGGCTCGGGAGCTTTTCCACGTGGTGCGCGCACGAGCACGCTCATGGGCGCGCTCATAGTTTTAGCGCTATCACCATCATCATGATTCCCGCGCACCTTGAAATACTAAATCGGCCCCGCACACCGATTTTCCACGTCAAAGCATGACGCACACTCTCCAGGGCAGCGTTTTTTTACCACATCTTCCCCCCAGTTCAAGAACAGCGATACGGTGGGGTAAAAAAGGGTAGGCATGTTCATAGAGTAGACTGGAATGTCCAAGTGTCTCGCCGGCACCATAGGGCACTGTAATATACACTCAAAGATTTACCGGCATAAAAGCGCACTTTGGCAGCGGTATTCTTTATCATCGCCCATACACATCGACGGATGACAGTGAAGAAAAATAAATAATAATAAAAAAGGCAAAAATATGTGACAAGATTGTGCCACACCTCAAAGAATCTTTACACTTTTCAAGTGTAACTAGACTTCATGTGCCTTGAAATAACATTTCAGCTCTTAGGTTGCCATATTAAAAGCGTACAGCTGGTTTCACTTAGCTGACAATTATTCTCGGTGACTGTGATTGTTCGTGGACCCAGGAACTCGGACGCGCAGAGCCGTGACCGTGAACACAGAAAATACATTCTCAAGTAAGACGGAGCACAACTGAAAGACATAGACAACTGACACAATACGCATAAACTGAACACATTCAACAATGATAATGCTTTTCTGTGACGATGTACCAAGGGCGTCCACACGGAATGCACGGCACCGCACGCTCGTGACCCGATGCCTAGGCCAACGACCACTCACTCATGCCGTTGCGGCGAACACAGGCGCCGGGCAGCACGATGAATTCGTCGAGTCAGCTTGGAAGCATCGACGCCGAGTAAGTCGGGCAAACATTATGTCAGCGCGGGGAATTGGTTCCGCATGCACTTCGAAGTCCATTGTCGTGTCGCAGTTCAGTTCGGAATCGGTCAACCAGGTTTGTACTCTTCCTCCTTTTCTTTCACGTACTAGCGCAGAACCAGAGTTCTTCCTTCCTATGTGCTTCTGTGTACCGCGGTGGCTTCTCGATGTTCATATAGATGGAGGGGTATTCAATCCAAACATCTGGGTCCGAGCGCCAAGGTACGCAGTCCAAAGCACGCCGTATCTTTCGGTTGTCTTGAAGTTGGTGTGCCTCCGCACGGTACAAAGTACCATGTTGTGGGCTCACAGCGTTCCTAGCTCTACTACTACTCTTGGAGTTCCGGCCCCTCTTGCTCGAATTATGGTCATCTTCTGGCTCTGTTTTAGGGTTTTTCATTGCCACTCGCTTTTCGTTGGGCTCCGAAGCAAGAGTCTCAGATACGCATGACGTGCTCTTTCTTTGGCCGAGAGGTTTCACCTGACCACTGCAGAGGCCATGCTGCTCCATACTTCTGTCACCTTCAATGCGATCACGTATATGCTTAACACATTCACTTGCAGATCGTGTACACAGAGCTACATCATCATGTTCTCCGACATACACTTTTTCGAGTGTGTCTGACAGACTTGTGTCAACATTATGGATAACTATCTCATCCTTGAGATTATTGACTTGGTTCTCTTCATTAACCTCCTTAAGCGCTACCCTATTTGCAATCTCTCGGATTTCCAAAATAGCTGTGCTGATCTCAGACAACAGCTTCTCTCCTTCCTGTCGCAAACGCACACGCTCATTGTCATTTTTGCACATGTACCGTAGTTCGAAATCAATTCTCTTTTGTTCCTCATCAAAGTCTTCTTGCAACATTCGCTCTAAGTCGGCGCAAGACCACCCGACCTCCTCTCCAATACAAAGCAGTCTTTGCACGTTTACAGGCATCCTGTGTGCGACCAATTCTCGCCTGAAAGATGTTGAGTGCCGATCCTGGCAAGGCCCATGTCCGTTTCGATTGCGTGCAATTTCTCCTAATCCATCGGTTCGTCCCGCCCGTCTGGCTCTCGGCACGAAGGTAAGGCCGATCTATCCTGGCAAGGCTCGCCAAAATTTGTGGGCAACTGTGGGCGCAGGTTAGCCAGATGAGGACAGAGGACGTTCGAGGACAACGAGAGACTTTTATACACACAAAGACGGACAAATGGATACACACAACATAAACTCACACAGATATACACGCGCTAACGGTCCTACGCGAAGAGAGTTATTGTTCTTGTTCGTTCACTCACATTCTACTCTTGGGGCGTGAACGTTGCTCTTCACCTTGAGCTCTCTGGTAGTCAGGAGGCGCGATGCCTGGTGCTTGCGGAGTTCCTACCGAGGCGGGGCTCGGTCTAGAAGATAACCGCCAGGGCCATCCCAGTACGGTGGTCAACGCCTGGGCTTGCCACCGAGAACAGCGTACCGCCGACTGCCGCGAACAGAGCTGGGACAGCGTCTCGCTCCGAGACCAGAACAGCAGCTGGTCGTGACGAACGCCGCTTCAGACCAACGTGGGTGCGAGGTGGGGCGATGCCCAGTCCAGGACGCAGCCGAGGACTTCAACGCCGGGACGAGGCCCGGACACGGAGGGTCGGAACGAGCAGCCGGGGCGTGGCCCGAACCTGCCCTAGCTCTCTGCTCTCTGGCGAGGTGGGGCGATGCCCAGTCCAGGACGCACCTGAGGACTTCAACGCCGGGACGAGGCCCGGACACGGAGGGTCAGAACGAGCAGCCGGGGCGTGGCCCGAACCTTTCCTTGCGTTCTGCTCTCTGGGGTCAGCCGAGCTGTCCCCGTGGCTCGGGAGCTTTTCCACGTGGTGCGCGCACGAGCACGCGCATGGGCGCGCTCATAGTTTTAGCGCTATCACCATCATCATGATTCCCGCGCACCTTGAAATACTAAATCGGCCCCGCACACCGATTTTCCACGTCAAAGCATGACGCACACTCTCCAGGGCAGCGTTTTTTTACCACAGTGAAACATTCGCTAGCTACATCGAGGACATCCTCGACCTCTGCCGGCGTGTCGACCCGACGATGGCGGAATCGAACAAGGTGCGACATATCATGAAAGGCATTTCCGACGACGCCTTTCAAATGCTGCTCTCGAAGAACCCTGTCACTGTCTCCGAGCTCATCGAGTTGTGTCCGAGTTTCGACGAGCTCCAACGACAGCGTCTTCTCACGCGACGCCCTAATGTCGCGGATGACACACTCTCATGCCTAACCACCACCTCTTACCTTGAGTCTATCGCAGATCAAGGAGTTTGTTCGTGCTGAAGTCGCTCGTGAGCTATCGCTGCTATCTACAGTCGGCCACCCACAGTCACCTCTTCCAGCAAACATTCGCCAGACCATCCAGGAGCAAGTTTGTGCGGCTCTGCCATCTGCCCGTGACACTTCACCGTTGCCGACCCCTGTTGCCTAGAGCGAGGTAAATGCACCTCTAAGCTACGCTGAAGTGGCCGCTCGACCACCTCTTCAGACTTTTACGTCATTGCCATCAGCCGTGCCACCACGATCTACTCCTCGGTTCACTCAGCCAAGGTCACTCCAGAGTAGTGGACAATGGCGTACACTCGACAATCGGCCAATATGCTTTGCCTGTGGCCTACCTGGCCACATAGCGTGATACTGCCGTGGACGCGTCCTTGTATACTACCAGAGCTTCGAACCTGCCCCTTATGTGCCACCGCGCCCGTCGTTCACAGGCTCTCAGCCCTTTGACCAGATGTCATCGTACGCCGACCACCGCCCTCCTGTTAACCGCCGCTCGCCATCACCTCGACGCCACTCGCCATCACCGATGCGTCGTCGTCCTTCGTCGCCTGAGCGGGAAAACTGATTGCCGCAGTTCCAGAGGCAGGAACTGCGTCGCCCGCGAAAAGACCAAGGCCTCTCTCTTCCCCAACGAATGTTCTCGACGTATATGTGGACGGTGTCGCTGCACTCACTCTTGTCGACTCTGGTGCCGCAGTTTCAGTGATCAGTGCCAGACCCTGCCGCTTGCTCAAAAAAGTTATGACGCCAATAGTAAGTATATCACTTCGTACAGCCAGCGCAGAGCACGTCACGCTAGCAGCTGCTTGTACTGCTGTTGTGAATGGGGTCTCTTGTGGTAGCGTGGTGTAACCAGGTGGAGGAAACGAACACTGACAAGAAGAAGATACGAAAAACAAACAGGTTTATGGCACTATTTACACATATTTACCGCAAAGAAAGGTTAAGGGTTTTCCAAACCACGATCGTGGTGGTTGAACCTTACATAGCTCAGAGCCAGCATACTCCCCTCGGCCGCACGTCCGCTGTGTGTCACCGCATCAATACGAATACCAATTCGCCATTGCTTCAAAGACCCTATCGCGTGTCCGCAGCCGAGCGCCAGGTTATCGACGACCCAGTAGCTGTCATGCTCAAGCGTGGCGTCATCCAACCTTCGAATAGCCCCTGGGCATCTCCAGTCGTTCTCGTTAAGAAGAAGGACGTGTCAATTCACTTCTGTGTTGACTACCGTCGTCTCAACAAAATAACTCGAAAGGACGTTTATCCCTTACCGAGAATCGACGATGCCATTGACTGCCTCCAAGGTGCGGAGTACTTCTCTTCTATTGACCTACGGAGTGGCTACTGGCAAGTCCCTCTGGCACCTGAAGATCAGCCTAAGACGGCCTTTGTCAAACCTGATGGCCTTTACGAATTCTGTGTCATGCCTTTTGGTCTTTGCAACGTGCCCTCAACATTCGAGCGGATGATGGACAATCTTTCGCGTGGCTTGAAGTGGAAAACATGCCTGTGCTACTTGGATGACGTAGTTATATATTCACCAGATTTTCCAACGCATCTTCGCAGGCCAGATGAAGTACTGCAGTGCCTAACTGACGCCGGCCTTCAGCTCAACCTGAAGAAATGCCGCTTCAGCGCAAATCAGCTCACCATCCTCGGCCATGTTGTCTCTAAAGACGGTATTCTTCCTGACACCACCAAGCTTGGGGCAGTTGCAGAGTTCCCTAAACCTGCGTCTCTGAAGGATCTGCGCAGCTTTCTATTTCCGCCGCTTTATTCGGAATTTCGCGATGATAGCCGCCCCCTTGACTGAAGTTCTGCGCAGTGACTCGAAAAGTTACGCTTGGTCACCCGCCTGTGACGATGCTTTCGAAAAGTTGCGCCGCCTGTTAACCTCGCCGCCAATTTTGCGTCACTTTGACCCGACTGCTCCGACTGAGGTACACACCGATGCCAGCGGTGTTGACTCGGCGCCGTGCTCGCGCAGCGCAAATCGGGATTCGAGGAGTACGTAGTCGCATACGCAAGCCGTACCCTCACCAAAGCGGAGAATAACTATTCTGTGGCAGAGAAGGAGAGTACGGCAATTAAATGGGCTCTAGGGGAATTTAGACTGTGCCTATATAGTCACCCCTTTGACGTAGCGACCGATCACAATGCGCTTCGCTGGTTATACTCATTGAAAGACCCCTCCGGCCGTTTAGCTCGCAGGGATTTGCGGTTGCAAGAGTTCGACATGCGTGTTGTCTACTGGTCTGGCCGACGTCACATTGATGCCGACGCCCTATCACGTTCACCTGTGTCCTCCTATAGCTCTGCATGTCTATCTGCCGTTTACGAAATGGTTGCGTTCCGAGAAAACTCTGACATGGCGTCGGAGCAACGTAAGCTTGACTGGATCAGCACTCTTCTGCGATTCCTTTCTGACCCGTCGACTTCTCCATCCTCTCAAATGTTGCGCCGTCAAGCGACTCACTTTGAGGTCCGCGATAGCCTCCTTTATCACAGGAATTACAAGTCCGATGGCCGAAAGTGGTTACTCGTCATACCTCGACATCTTCGTGCCGAAGTGTGTTCAGCTTTCCACACTGACCCCCAGTGCGCACATGCGGGCATCTTCAAAACATACGCTCGGCTTTCCTCCCGGTTTTATTGACGAGGCATGTACACCCTTTTGTGCAAGTACATTCAGTCATGCCCTCAGTGCCAACGAAGAAAGCTCTCTCTCATAACGCCTGTGGTCCGATCCAGCCAATCCCTTGCCTAGCCAGGCCTTTCGACCGCGTTGAAATCGATCTGTATGGGCCTCTACCATTCACGGCTTCCGGAAACCGTTGGATCGTTGTCGCTGTCGACTACTTGACGCGATATGCGGAAACAGCCGCTTTGCCTGCTGCCACAGCACACGACGTATCATCCTTTTCCTGCGGAACTTCATTCTCCAGCACGGCGCACCCCGTTAACTTCTCAGCGACAGAGAACGTCTATTCGCCTCTGAAGTCGTCAACGCACTGCTTCCCGAATGCCGTATCACTCACCAGACTACCACCGCCAACCATCCGCAGACGAATGGATTGACGGAAAGGTTCAACCGTACCCTAGGGGATATGATAGCAAAGTATAATGCCTCAGACCCCTCTGACTGGGACCTCATTCTGCCTTTTGTGACATACGCCTACAATACTGCTCCACAGGCGACTACGGGCTTTTCACCATTTTTCCTGTTATATGGCCGAGACCCTTCCACCACACTAGATACCATTCTACCCTACCACCCCGATTACTCCGAGTCTACGCCTATCTCGGAAGCTGCCCGCCGTGCCGAAGAACGCCGTAAGCTCGCCCAGTCGTTTACAACCATCGACCAATGGAGACGAAAATCTCGACGTGACGATAACCAGCCGTACCCTAACTTTGTTCTGGACACCCTTGTGTGGCTTTGGGTTCCCGCTGTCCCTACAGGGCTTTCCTCGAAGCTTGTTTCAAAATACCAAGGACCCTACCACATTGTCTCACAGACTTCACCTGTTAACTACATCGTCGAACCCGTTACGCCATCCACAGACCAGCGCTTTCGGGGTCGCGAAACCATTCACGTACAGCGGTTGGAGCCTTATTACGATCCGCTCGTACTCTGTTCTCCGTGAGTCGGCAGGATGGCTTCTTTTCCGAAGGGGGACGAAATGTAGTGAAGAGGAATGCCCACTAGTGCAGCGACATCGACACGTTGGCACGAGGTGCGAGCTAAGGCTGCCTGGTTGCTGCTGCGACGCTGCCTGTATACTCGGACTGCTCTTGCTGCTTCTGTACCGACGCTGCTACCGCCTTTGACCTTGCATTTACATTATAGTTAATATATAATTACCCGAAATCCCAAAAGGCTTCGTTTTCTTTGCTCAGCCATTTGTGACTAGAATATTGGGTGCCCCTAACGTTGCCCAGCCACACGTCGAAGCCGTGGTCAGCTAAAATAAAACCTGCAGAAAGACAGTTGTAAATATTAGTTTTAATTAGCTTGCTAAAATTTTTACAAAATACGTCTTTGCGATGAGTTTAATCATAACGTGAAAATATTTGTTACGCTAACACCATGAACTGAATGAGCCATCAGAACCAAATATTTTTAAATTGTTCAGTTTTGTCGCGAATGCTTATTTAAAGTGGTCATAAAAGTTTGAATCTCTTTCTTCTAGATACTTGGTATTGCACCACGCTCACAGGATACCTTATGCTTGAATTCACCGAAGATGTCTCAGCGGCTGAAAGTCACAATGTGCAATATTTTACCCTGTACATTATATCACGTCTTCACCGCATTTTGTATTTTAACATGAAAGTGGTTACGCCGGTGTCCGTCACGGCATAACTAATGAAGGTTAAGTGATTGAGTTCACTTTTGAGAACCTGGAATCGTTGCGCCACTTGGTGGAGCGGATCTCAAACACGCGTTTCAATCTACGCTGCCTCCGAGGCCGGTTAAGGCCTGCAGACTACGAAAGAAGGTTTACTCAATGACTACACTAGACCAAACAAGTGCCTAAGTGTACGAGTGGCATCACCAGGTAGGGAATTGAAAGTTTAGGGTGACCTAAAGATTTATTTATTTATATTTATTAGCAGCAAATCTGTAAGCTTAAGGTGTCCGCAAAAATCTTTAGCATCGTTGCTTGTCAGCCGCGCCCACTGAAGTAGACAGTCCGTACAGCAGCCGCTCCGAATTTCCCATCATGGCGCAATCCGAGTACGAGCGAGTAAAGGCCCCGCTTCTGCCTGGGGTGCCACAGCCAGCCTTGCACATTAGCCCTGGCAATGGAGTGTTTTCGTTTTTGCATGGTCTGTGACAGGCTGTGGTTCGACTTTACTTCCAAGGAAGGACCTAGCATCAGCCAGGAAGGCCACGTTACGCTTCCAAGATGAACCGGTTTTGCTGTTTCTGAAGCATCACGCGGGAAGCGCAAACTTATACATTTATTTATTATTCATTTTGTGTTTATTCCCACCACACAGGGGCACGTGGAGCGAGTGTTTCTTGAACATAAACAGGTACAATGAATTCAAGAAAAAATGTAGAAAAATTCGTGCTTGTAAGCAGATGAGTGGCAGAATCACTTTGGCAGTGCACTGTCAGAGGAAGTTTTGTTTGGCATAACTAACTGGCATAACACAGGTTTTGTTTGGCATAATTTGACATAACGACAATCCTAGAATCACCAGTGTCGAAATTTCAAAATCACTAGCACTGACTTCGTAACTTAGTTGGGAAGCATACTTTAGCGCATGTTTGTTTTACGCAGGCATAACGTATACCTTATTCGCTCGCGAGATGATTGAAAAGGAGGTAAAGCTTTCTCACTGGGCATTTACCTCTGTGTAAAAGCACAGATAGCTGAATTTACAAGTCATGACTATTAAAAACGACATGTGATAAAACAGACGCGCATTAGGTGCACTCATCCGAATTTTCGAGTAGTTGTAACTCACAGGCCCTGTAGAAACGCTTACCAAGGCTTTGATGCGGCAGGTTCACCACGAAATCCGCGCTACTGCATTCAAGACCGGTCATCAGAAAGGCCACTGGCTTTCCGCCTTTTGGCCATTGTCGGGTGCCTTTCCGTCCACCTGGTATCCTTTGCATGGTGATGTTGTAGTGGTCCTTCGTCATTACGGCGTACTGAACCACGGGATAGCCCTTGCTTGCTATAAGCTCTGCCTGAAAGAGATAAGACAACGTGTCATCTCAGTATCAACAGTAAACAGGCGTGCGGTGCCCTACAATACACGTTAGTATTCTTGTATTTTTCTTCCGAAGCGCGTCACGAGTATGATGGGTTACATTGCACTATACGTTACATATAATAACAGTGTATTAGGCAGATCTTTCTCGCGATTCTATTTTTCAAGGTGGACTACTTGAAGAGACTGCATACTATTGGTATAAGTGAGTGATAAACGCAGTGAATCAATTCGTGAAAATCTACTAAGTAAACTTGTACGTAATTGCTGACATGTGCATATATTGACTCTTGTCAGTGGTGATATGTCACCTCGTACTTGTACAGGTTTAGAGTACCCTGAACCCGCCGTGGTGGTCTATTGGTTGCGATGCTAGGCTGCTCACCTGACGGTTATGGGATCGAATCTCAGCCCCCAGCGGCAGTACTTCGACAGATGCGATGTGCTAAAGGCTAGTGAACTTGTAATTAGGTTGACGTTAAAGAACACCATGTGGCCTAAATTTTTGGAGCTCTACGCTTCAACGTTTATTATAATCATGCTTTGGCTTCTAGTCGTCAGAACCTTACAATCACAACTAGTAAGCTTAAATTATCAACATCAGTAAGGCAGGATAGGGAATACACACATACCGTGCTTCTCTTGGCGTCCTCATCAGGCAGAGCAATCGAACTTCCCGTTAGCGTAATGACGGCAAAATACAGCAGGAAAAGCTTCGGAGTATTTTCGTTAAACATACTGAAATATTTTGAAATAGGTCAACAGCAGTAATTATTAGTTTTTAAGTGGGCACGTGAAACTAGGAGAACTACCATACTTCAAGAAGTGACATTTTCAAGAGAAGGCACGTTAATTTCAACTTAGACGACAACGAACTTTTCACGTGAACATGCAAACAACGGATATCGGCAAATTGCGTCGAACACCTTCACGAGCAGTGCATGTAATGCCTGAGAGACCGCTACGTATAAGCGTGCCTGCGTTTGTGGTTTCGTAAAGTGCAGCTACACGTTCCGACGCGTTTCCATAGTGCTCGCAGAACTCCGAAGGAACCTGCGCGTATTGTCCCGCAACCTAACGCGAAAAAAAAACTTCAGAAACAATCGCCGTGCACACGACTCGATGACCGAAAGCTCGTTCGCGGTGATGTTGCACTCTATTTTGTAGGTCATTCACATGTCACTTTCTGGTGATGTACGAGCGCCCCACTTGTGTGTCTGCAAGTCAACAAATGTGTTGTTTTTACGTCACATATTTGTTTTTCATGTCTTTGCGGAGACCCATATATGGAACAGCTCGGTAAGGACGTTGCAGAAACAAAGACCAATATAGTGCGCAACATGGTATGCTATTGTAGCGTTGTGTGATGTTTAGTAGGGTCGCATGATCACGTTCTGTTCTGCAGAACTACATACGCTTCAAGGCAGCTCGCTCGAATTTAGACATATTCATTTCTAAAAAACAAAAAAAAAAAAACTGGCGAAGCGTCTTCTAGGCTGCGAAAGCTTGAATTAGCGTAATCGAACAATGCTGAAGCTTAATCCGGTTTCTTTTTGGTTGGTTCTAGGCTTTAGCTATGTGGTGCAGCATTTAGGTTGCTCCAAAGTGGTTGCAAAGCTTTAGCTATAGGTGATACTACGTTGTTTCGGAATTGGTTCTCAGTGCAGGAGGAGCTCGTGTTAAATCGCAGACAGTCACACACACGACACGTATGTCCGAACTCTAAAAGAGACAGAAACTCGCGCTGAAAACATACGTTCGCCCCTCTCATAGATCTGCGGGCACGACCTCGCTGGCGGGGGGCTTCCGTCGCTTCGGGGCGTTTTCGCGGCCGCCATTGCCTTTTCCATTCCCTAGACGTACTCAGGGTCTTAGGCTCATCACCGGTGCTTCGCAGCCGTTTCTTGGGCTAAATGTTGTCCTCGTTTTCAGTTGACCTGTGGTCAGTAGTGGTATTTAACCAATTTAGCTGGCACACACCCGTTTTTAAATAGGTCGCAATTACTATAGGCTAGCTTAGACAGCTTCGCTAATTAATGATCGTGGATATGAAGCAACATAGCGGAAACAAGAACATATGAGCAGATAGAAGTATCCATGCCCTGAATGCAGTGGCGAAACAGCAAACTCGCGCCACTGTGTAGAAAATGTATTTGTGAACCAATCATTATTTTATTAAGAGTGTGTAGAATAAAAGTGTGCTGCATGAGAAAGATGAATCTTGTTGAATGCTTCTAAACTTCACCAATTCAAAAAAAAAAAAAAAAGGAAAGTGCCCCTTGTGTTGGATGCATAAATCGGCGCGCTTCAGTCGGCTCATTCGGAATTACTCAGCCTTGAAGGGACCCCAAAGAACAAAACGCTTTTTTCGCGTATTAGTTCAGTACAATTTCACAATACTGAAAACATCGCTCTTACCGTGACATGACGCATGGTAAGCGAGAAAATGCGCGAAAAGAAACTGCGCGTAGCGATGCCATCTTGAGATTCGCGCACTAAGCACTGTGACGTCATCCATAGTTGAAGATGTATACGGGGTCCTACGTAGCTTCCAATTAACAAAATTGAGGTAAACTGTAATCTGTGGGTGTCATAGACTTAGCATGCGAAGTCTCAGAAAATTTCATCGAGCCAATGTCGCGTTAATACTGAAAATACATCGTTGAATCTGTTACGTCACGTGTGGAAACTACGGCGCGAAATTCGAAAATGAAACTTCATCCTTGATTTTCTCCGCTAATAATGAGCTTATGAATGTGACACTTATAACCTTAGAGTTCTCGTAGTTCTGTTTATCAATCTAAAACAACTTTTTGTCTCTCTTTAGCGTCCTTTTAAATCAAGCTGTGAGCCTAATTGAGTCCGCCCGAGTTATGTTTTGGTGAGTTTGAGCCCAAGTAACCCAGCTGAGAGGAATTCTAGCGACTCTTGGTTCGAGTGAGTGTTGTTGAGGAAACCCTTGGTTCGAGGGAGTATAGTTGAGGAAAAATTAGGTGTGTCTGACTCCGAGTGAGCTTCAAGCGGCAGATGTATTTCTTAAGGAAGTCCGAGCGAGCTCAAGCTCCTTCTTGCCCATCTATGGTCACACTCACTCATCTTAACGATTGGCACCACTCGCATGTGCTCTCAAATATAGCAGCCAACTTTACACACATGGCTGCTCATTCATATTTTAACGCATTTTTGTTTTTACGCCAGCTCATCATTTATTGATCTGAGGTGTGAGTTACCGAAAGAGGTGCGTCGACCTCCCCACCATGTCCCACGGTCTTTCCGCTAAACTTTCTTAATAAAGCATCTCGTTCACTCATGTCTCCCTCTAAATATGCCCTTACTAAATTGCAACAACTGACAACTTGTGTTTCAAAGTACAATATCAAAAGACAACACGTAAAACACTTATTATGTGAGATATTGGCGTTAAAGCGAATTGGAACCATGATCGAGAAAGCAAAGTGTACTTTAATGCACTCATGAGTCTGTTCATTTAGACTCGAATCGAGCCTGAAGTCTGTGTGCAGTCCGCCTGGGTATTATAGTAAAAGCTCGTTAATTAAAATTTCACGGTACTGGCAAAAAGGTCTGACTTAACTGTACTTCCAGTTAACGAGACTATCGAGAGAACAATAGGGAAGTTTCTATCACACTAACGCCTTTGTATTTTCTTGATGAATACGCAAGTGCAAAAGGAGGGTGTAAAAGCCGCAATGATCGTCATTCGCGAATCCGTTCATATTGCAACCACGCCTCGATTGGCCCCTTTATTATGGCTAGAAGTGCTGTAAGCCTGTTTCTTATTGCGGACTGCCACCAAAAACAACACCACGTGCTCGGGCCGTTAACCGTATCACCGAAAAAACGGTAGGCGCAATTTGTCCGAGCGGTTGACGTGCTTCGTTTAAAATCGAAATCGGAACGAGCTTGTTGCTGGCAATGAAGCGTTTGCTCACCAACCACGCGATTTTAGTACGATTGGGGGCGGTGACCTATAGCCTTTTTAAAGGCCTGCGTTGTCATTTTTTCTTGCGTTATAGTTCTCATTTCCGACTCTTGGCGTCTAACATTGGCCGTGCTTTATGCTTGACACGTTCCGACGATCGTCCGAATCAACCTGGATGCGGCCACGTGTGACAGAATTAACGATAATTCTGTGTCATAAACATTACGTGCGCTCACCGGGATCAGAAGAACACGTAAGAATTATCAGATTTCAAGTTAAGGGTGGTCGAATCAACAAGGCTTTATTGTATTTTAGTGAAAGTGAACCCTAATGAGTCCAGCTGAGCAATATTGCCCCGAGTTTTAGTCCGATTGAGCTGTAAGCGCAAAATATCTTAAGTAAGCCTAAGTGAGCTCTATATACAATTTTACCAACCTATGGCAACGATTTTCTTATTCTCATACTTAGAAGGTTGTCATATAGAAGGTAACGATTATATACACTGTCTCATGAAATATACGTCCAATCCCAGACGTCGGCGTAGCAGTTCACAACGCGTCACTATAGAATCCCAGCCACACTGGCGATTGACCGAATATCGACGGTCGATCCAGTCGAGTAGGTCGCTTCTACCGAGCGTTCGTGCTGCAACGTGCCGGGAAGTGGATGTATCTTCGTGGGGAACCGAACTCCATCGCCCACGCTGGTAAATACCGGAAGCATCCACAGCCACATCCGCTTACCGAACACCTGAACAAAGTTTTGACGGTAGCCAACGTCGAACGAGTCGTCGGGCTCCCGAAAAATGACTGCACGCATCTGTTCGAGTGTGGTCTCATTTCTGAACACCATGCACGCGTGGTGCCACAGGAAGGCGCCGAGTACGAGCACTACCGAGGTCCCGACGACCATTAGGAAAGTGAGCTGAAAGGTGATCGACGTCATGTGCGCCTTCAGCCACATATTGATCACGTGTTTTCCCATGGTGGAGACGCCGAAGATTGACAAGACTACCGCGTAGAACAGCGTGAGCAGGAAGAACTTGTAGGTGTTAAAGCAGACGCAGTTGTTGAACCAAGGACAGTGGTGGTCCATCTTCGGGATGCACCTGTGGAGATAACCATACAAACGTAAGACTTGAAACTCTCGTTCCTATATAACACATATAACAGTACGTGTCATCATTTCAGAGGTAGTTGAGCTGACAAGAGTCGTATTGGCGATGGCCTTTACCGAACTTCTATTTAGTCTTCAGTTCACGGAATTCGCCTTAAATGGGTGGTGCCATCAAATTTGGAGGCTATAACAAACCTGCTACACTACACATGAAGGACATGCAAGGACACTACACATGAACAGTCAGGCACAGCAAACGTATAAAATTTATTTTATATCCATCCCAAGTGTGTATACTTAAATGGTCATTACCCCGAACAAAACTTATCGCTAGCGTATCCAGCACTGACTAGCGCTTCCAAAAAGGCCAGCGAAAGTTGTAGTGACGTAACGCCAGATCTGTAGTGATGCGACTAAGCAACCTCCGGACCTCGGCCACCTCAGCCAGGTACTATCAGCGTCAAATGAACAGCGAAGCGCGTGTTTCAAGCATTAGAAACAGTATAGTGTTGGCCGTCCAGTCATTACCTTTGACAGGCATGCACATCCGGTTTGGCAGCACTGCGCCATCCACCTAGAGTGTGTTACCTCCGTTTATGCTCTAGTTCTCGTATGGTAGCAATGGTGGAAATCGTGGGCTTGCCAAGCGCTTTTCATCGTATCACTCGCAATTAATTCCTTGCTTTTACTTCAGCGTCGCAGTGCAATCGGTGTCTTGGCACGATAAAACATAAGAAGAAATATAATTGGTTTGCGGTTGATTTTCAAATGACTGTTGTATCTCGTTCGTCAGCGCTGCTTCACCTACACCCTTCTTTCAGAAAACGACCCGAAAAGGTTTCATTTTAACTGGAAATGCCAAGTGTTCCTTCGCAAGAGAGCGCGCAAAATAGTTTCGCTTTACCGAGACGAAGTGAAACAGCGTGCGATTGCCAGCATTAAGAACTGACCTTTGTCTACTATAAATAGAATTTTCCAGGCATTCCGTGATGATTGATTCCGTGATGACAAAGTGTGCTACAATACTCGCCTTTGGCTGCAGTAGTTTAACCTCTGTATTTTTTAAAGTTTGTTTCTTTTAAATACCATACCTGGAACACAAGCAGAAATGTTGCACTATAGAGGGATTGTGCAGTACTGCCACAACGGATGTGCGCGCCTTTCTGTGTCAATGACTGGTGGACGGCACGCACTATGCCATTGATAAGGCTTATGCCACGCGCTACGCTGTTCGCGTTTCATTTGATGCCGGCAAGGTATCGGTTGCTACACCGCTCGCGGCTGCAGCAGCTATATAGCATGGCAACTGTCGACGCATTTCCTTAGCTGTGCTTGCATGGCGCACGCGTGAGTGAGCATACGATACTCAGCACGACGTGCGCCACAGCCTTGTGTAGCCACGTGACCAAGCAACCTACACTGCTACGTCACTGTTCGACTCGGTGCCCTGAAACCCAAGCCGAAAATTGTCCACGTGAATAAAGCAGTATAAATCATTCAGCGGGAATACGTGAATCTTGGTGCGTGTATCATGCTTGCTGGAGGTAACAGAACACCTTACAGCAAAGAACACGTAAGTCACAAATTTTCTGGCACCACCCCTTCAAGGCAAGTCTACGAAAATTGTTGAAGAGCGTCAAGCATATACGCACTGTCCACTGTATGGAAACGTACTGCAGCGATTAAATGAGCGGACGGATATTTGTTTCGTAAAACACGCCAATAAGTTCAATGAGTGACGCACACTATAAGTGTACTTTATAAGGTGTACTTTTTTTATAAGGTGCACACTATAAGTGTATATAAGTGTACTTTTTCAGCTGTGGCCACTTCAACGTTGGACTAAGTGGCGTTGCATTAACCAGAGAATATTGAAAAACAAGAGATCGTTAACCAGAGGCTCATCTTCTAGTCTGTCTTTACACTGTCAATGTTGTGAGTGCATGGCAATGTTCGGTGATTTCGCAGAATATTGTACATATATGAATGAAGAAACGTGCCTGATGATTGAGGCATGGCTTATGGATAACAATTGCAGCGCATGCGTGAGCTAACAGTCATTTGCCTTCCACGAAGATCTAATCAAGGACCTTGACAGTTATATTCCACGCTGACCCCCACGTGTACCTGATTCGTGGGCTCGCATAGTGCATGGGCATATAAGTTTCCGAGCCTTTTTTTCTTTTTCGCCGTCGTCTGCACGTCCAGTTCTTAGTAGGCGTTTGTGGTGTCCCGACTTTATTCTTGGGTTCGTATTTGCACGCCCTGCCTTTTCAGATTGAAAACGTACCGACTAAGTGTGCTCGATGTTATTCTAAACTTTATTTCTAGTGTTAGGAGCCGTTTTCCACGTTGTCTTACTTATCTGAAGAACCCTGTTTTTACGGCTTCTTTAATTGCTCTTTGTTTGTTCCATGCTGGAACCGTTTGCTGGTTTTGTAAGAATAGTGTCTGACCGGCTAAATTTCAACTTCTGTGTGGCCTTCGGCAACCATCGACGGGACATGCCAGGAGAACTTGTGCCACATTGTCCACGTAATCGTGGTGCCAAGTAAGATTTTATCAGAAATGTCTCAAGGTTCGTTGCTTTGCTCCATTTGACGGTCACCACCAGAAGCAGCTGTACACCGACTGGACGAGGGTAGCTAGCCAGCATACGGAATTCCTATGGAGGGTAAAACTTCCAGAACTTCAAGCATGTAGGAGGAATATTTTCTACTGTTTCTCTGCAAAAGAACCTGATTGTTCTCGGAAGAGCTGTCTTAGGTGATAGTGCAAGCACTAGCTTTAGGCCCAAGATATTTTACACCTAACCTCAAAAGCATACACGTGTTAAGTTTGCCGCGCACTATTACTAGACTAGTTCCCGAAAATGCGACCTTGTTTGCACGCCTTTTCAAATGGAATACGTATAACTTGCTCAGTTCTGTTATTTTACGCATATAACTTTTCATTGAAAGCATGCACGTATCCTCGTTCATTTCGCCGCTGTGCTCCACTAAAGCCGTTTATCGATTGGGGTCGATGCTCACTCGTTCAAATTTTAAAACTGAGTGGTTGTGCGAACGTTAACTTAATATGTGGGCTTTCGAATGAGCTAACAGCAATATGGGATGCTTTCTGCCTGCCGCTTCTGCGTTGGAAAATGAAATTTGCTGGACACTTTCGCTAATTGATTGATATGTGGGGTTTAACGTCCCAAAACCACCATATGATTATGAGAGACGCCGTAGTGGAGGGCTCCGGAAATTTCGACCACCTGGGGTTCTTTAGCGTGCACCCAAATCTGAGCACACGGGCCTACAACATTTCCGCCTCCATCGGAAATGCAGCCGCCGCCACCGGGATTCGAACCCGCGACCTGCGGGTCAGCAGCCGAGTGCCTTAGCCACTAGACCACCGCGGCGGGGCAGGGCACTCTCGCTGTTGGTGTGCTTGGGAACAAAAGCGCTGCGTGTCGCCGTTTTGGCGTTAAGGCCACCGGTTGCCTGTGCTAACCTTTATTTTTCAATTGCGACTGTACCTTCGTATCCGTCTACGCATGTGAAGAGACGTTGAAAGAAGACATGCCTGATCCCTCTCTTTAGGAATCGGTATGACACGAAAGTAAAACGTGTCCTTGCAGTGCTGTAGTTGAGCACTCATTTTGCAATGTTTAGCCAAAAGAGCAAAAGAAAAAAATGCTACAGCAACAAACTGCAATGTCATACGAAGAACGACAGACAACTCGAAACTTGCAGCGCGCACCTCAAGCAGACAGCACGCACGAAATGAGCCTACACAGGATGAGCGCGGACAAACAATTGTCACAGCTCGACACTCGAAGCACGCTGCTGAAACAGAGAGACATGAAGTGAACGAATATTTATTCACAAGACGGGCGGAGATACCCGTCACCATAGAGTTTCTTAATATACACTAGAGGGAACTCTGGCGCTAGTGTCTATGGGAGCTGCAACACACGGCGCTTCAGCGAGCATGGGAATGATGGGTAGTACACACATTTGTCTAATATTCGTGCTTATGGCCTGCTTTTGGCTCCATGTGTGTTCGTGTGGCTTGGAGCTGTTTTTTCAAGAAAACACAAATTAACAAATGTTTACCGTTTGCGCTTCACAACCTTATTCGTTTAGGCTTATCATTTTGAATCAAGTCACTAAGTTCGAAGGGTTTGTTCTTTCTTTCGAAACAAAACCGTAACCAGCAATAAACGAAGCCGCAAGTACGATTCGCCGCCCGTAAGTACGAAGACTAGGCAAATGTGTGTACTATCCACCATTCCCATGGTCGTTGAACGATCGCAGTGCCAGAGTGCCCTCTAGTTAATTTTGGGAAACTCTATGCCCGTCACGAAACGTATACTTCTTCGTGTTTGAGTAGTGTGCTCTTTTCGGAACTGCAACTTCAAAGCAAACTTGCGCTGGAAGCCCAAGGAGTAGAAAACGCCCGAATCCCAAGGTAAGCGTTCGTGCGATAGAGCCATCACGTTAGCCAACATATACACGTCCAGTGCCTTCGCTATAACTTTCAGTGCCTGTCGGAAGGGGAGGAGAACAATAGGCGGCGGCCGTCGAAGCGAGTGCAGCTGCTCACCACCAGACGCCGCCACGTAAACATTGGTCTCTCGTGTTGTCGGTCGCAGCTCGTGCATCACCTGCGCAGATGCGGTAGCTAGTCTCGTTTCTCGGATTCTGGTTGCCTGGGTGCTCATAACGACCGGCAAAGCCACAAAAAGGCTTCCTCGACTGGTAAGCTCTCGAACCCGCTCGCGACAGCGTCTCAATCAACCAGACAAGGACAAGACTTGGCAAAACCAGGGGTTGCTATAGCGTCCCACAACGAAACAAGTTTACTCCAGATATCTCGTGAAATCGCAGTGAACCAAAAAAGAAGTGCGTTCTTCGGCCTGGGGTGCACCCTACAATTCCCCTGTAGTAATCGGACCACAAGAAAAAAATAACAGTAACCTACTTTACAGCCTTACATATGTTGGCCTACAAATCGAACGTTTGGTGACATAAGAACAGAGTATAAACTAGAGAAGAAACAGTATTTGTTACAGTCCTACGTACACTGGCCTACGTACACGGCGGCAGAAGGAATCTCGTGAAAAGACAGTCCCGGCGTTTTCTTTTTCTCGTCAGACTTACACAGCGGTACGCAGCAGTACGACATCTTCAGTCGCGCTACACGCACGGCCGAAGCACCGGATTGAAAAAAAAGAAGGAAACGTGAATCAATATACGACAGCATGCAACTTGAAGAACGCAACACCACGTGCAGCACAGCGAAGGGAGTACCGCCCACGACCTCCTCGGTGCCACCAAACCAGCGAGCCAACCATGTTTACACAGCGCCACTACCCAATAGCGGCGAGCGGGGGAAACACTAGCGCCCACGGCCGTAAGAGGGCCTTCTTTCACGCACTGAAAGTTATAGAGAAGGCACTGACACGCCCTTTGACTATGCCATGAGAAGGCACGCACGCAAAGCAAGACGCGCGTTGGCGCGGCACGACGACCAGTGCAGCGCGCGCGCCCAACGTGTGCCCGTGGGGCCATCTACCAACTGGTAACGGAAACGCGCTGAAATTGCTGAGCTCTCAGGACCGCCAGCGGTACATTGTGTATATAAATGGCTTGCCGTTAGGTGGTCGGATAAGGTTCGTTTCGTGGCGGCTTAGTAATTAGCGCGCTGAGAAGCGCGAGGTCACTGTATCGACGTCCTGTTGCACAATATTTTAACGCGATAGCGTTAAAGAGCTCGTGTCGCAGATAACCCACCGCCGGACTCGGCCCCGTTGGTTGTGAGCGAAAAATCGTCTGTACGCCTGTGACCGAAAAATAAAGCTACCTAGATAGCCACGGAAGGACGCTAGACGCGCATTCGAAGAAAAGAAAGTGCTCAAGGTCATGAGGCGTGGTAGTTTTTTTGCCCTGCCACCCCTCCCTACTTAGCTTTGAGCGCTTTCGTTGAGAGGAGAGCAGAGATAATGCGATTGCAGCATGCGACAAACCTTTGTAACTCCACTTGCACTGTACGGATTCTTAAAAATTTTGCAGCGTTGAATTCGTGAGGCAATAGGCTGTTCTAGTGAATTCATTCAATGGTTACTTGAAAAAGTGTTCCAGGGCCCCTTTAACGCATTTTGTTCGACAGGTGTCACGACAAAAAAGAGCCAATTCGGCGATAATAGCGCGCGCTGGTCCAATCTACTGTGTGCGTGTGTAACAAAACGTAGGAATAGGTATGCACTTAGTGGTTGAAGGGTGCACTAGGGGCCGGATTTCGATATCGCGTTCAACTCTTAAAGGCGAAGCTTAAGGGTCCTTCAATTTTTCTTCTCGTGTTATCTTTGCAGTCTACAAGTATATTTTTTCAACATCATATCGATGACAGAAATACATCAGCGGAGCCATGTGTACCCTGGCACAAAACACTTTCATATTAAAACAAACACGCATTCACGTGACAACGTGACTGTCTTCCTTAAAATGCCTTTGACTGTCCTCTAAAGGGCCCTTAAACCACTCCGAGTTCAAAGACATAAGAGAGTGGTTTCTTCTTGCCTTCAATATCCCTACTACTGGATCTATCTCCTTCTCAACGCATGTTTCCTCAGAAAAGCACATAGAAAAGCACATAGAAAATGCCTGCATTAAGCGGTGAGCTTATCAGAATTACACGCCTTTCGGCTGTATGGTGTTATCTCCACTCGCACAGCTCTTAACGCACAAAACGAAGCAAAATCGGATGATCACGCGCAATACTCGCGGGTGACAAATCACAACAGACGTGCGACAGCACGGAAAAGTAGGGTAGGAGACAATTCACAATCACTAAGCACCATATGTGAAGCAATCCAGAGCTTATTTCCTCACTATGGGACGTAAACGTTCTCTCGTCGCGAGTTGTGCCGAAAAAGATGGGGAAGCTCAATTAGATCATAACGCGCTAGTTTTTCGTATTTTCGAAAGTTATTTAGGCGCGCGTTAAAATGGCCCTAGAACACTTTCCCAAGTATTCATCAAATGGGTGCAATAAGGAAGTGTACACGAAGTTGCAGGGATGCACCACACAACTCAACCTCTCTTCCTTTCTCCTTTTGTACCAGTTAGCGCGTTGGAAGCTACGCGAGGATGGGGAGAGGGGTGGGTTGACAAGGGCAAGACGCCTTCGTGTACGTGCGGTGTCGCCTTGATGACTTTTTCTCTTCGAACACACGGCTTAAGTACAGCGGGATGCCCCACTGCGGTGGTCTAGAGGCTAAGGTACTCAGCTGCTGTCTCGCAGGTCGCGGGATCGAATCCCAGCCGCGGCGGCTGAATTTCCGATGGAGGCGGAAATGTTGTAGGCTCATGTGCTTAATTGGGTTCACTTTAAAGAACGCCAAGTGGTCGATATTTCCGGAACCCTCCACTGCGGCGACCCTAATATTTATATGGTGGTTTTGGGACGTTAAACACCACATATCAATCAATCAATCAATCAATCAATCAATCAGTCAATCAATCATTACATTCAGCGGGATCACGCGCGCGTCCACGTAGGCAGTTCGCAGCATGCCGTTTTGGCTCATGTTAGTTATGCATCTCGCGATGTTCAAATCGGCCAATGGCCGTGAACTCGGGTTTATGGCGTGTTCATTGGGACGTATATGGCGCCATTTGTCGAAAGAAGTGAAAGCGAGTTCTAGGTCACTTGGAGAAATAAATGTAACTTCTATGTCGTGCGCTGCGGTATAATTTTTGGCACGTGTTTTAAGAAGCCTCCACTACCAATCGGCAACTTTTTCGGACCCTGTTCATAAAGTGTTTCAGGGCCCCTTGCTTGTTCTTACGCATGCATGTGGCAGTACTACCTTCGACAGATGGAGCAGTGGTGGCATGCGTGTGGCTGTACTACCTTTGACAGATAGAGCAGTGGTGGCAGCGGTCGGGCTTGATGAGGCAACAGTCTTCGCAGAATCGCACGCATCCATCGGTGCCGAGGGTGAGCACGCCGCGCTCGCTGGCCATCCCGTCGAGCAGCCTTCGGCGAGTTCGCTCGTTCTGGCAGTTCTCCAACGCCTGCTGCTCGCCTGTGGTCAGCCGGTAGAGTGGCGGTACGGGTGCAATGGACGCCGCCGTCGTCTGCACGTAAGACCTGTGCATTTCGAACACTTTGAAGGGGTAAAGCGAAAAGAGCCGTTCCGAACAATGTCGCGTTAGGTGAAGCGTTTTGTACTGAGTATGTGAAGCCGGAAGCCCCATATGCCTCACTAAACACTAAAGGTGACGGTTAACGGCGGAGTCAACTCGAGTCATGCAGAAGATCAAATGATAACGCCATCCCGCGACATCGCCATGACGTCGTAGAAAGCCCAGATTTGCGGCGTCATCATGGCATAATTGTAACGTCAAAATATGATGCTGTCACATGACATCATTGCTAGATTATAAGCGGACCAGTCCCGAAGTCCGCTATGTGTAGAAAGGTTGTAATGTCCCCGATTCCAGAAGTAGTGCGATGTAATAGGCCCAGAAAGATCTCGAGGGAGAGGTGATTATAGTATTTACTGAGAAAAAAGAAAAAGTAGATAGCTGTCGGCTTATGTTGCTTTTAGCAATTTCATAAAAGAACTTGAAAGTTTTCAGAGCAAGCTTGCTTTTAGCATTTTGGTTGTTAAAATACCTAAAATATGACCGTATTACGTGGACTCAATGGATTATCTTGCTTGTGAATAAAAAGAAAGTTCTGCTGGCTCTGTTCACCGCTGTGTTATGCTACCTTCATTATTCTGAACGTCACAACAATTCGCAAAAAAAGTACAAAGAGTCAATTATACGCACGAATTACACCAGTTGTACTTATTGAGCAATGCTTCCCTTAAAATATGCCGTCATGACACCGAGCCATCTGAAGGCAAACTTTCTCAAAATCGAGAAACTACCGACAATTCTCACGCTTGTGTAATGACCGCATTCGCCCCTCTAGCACGTTCACTTCGTGAGCCAACAACTCCAAGTTTTCGCTGCATTTGAAAGTACAGAATATGACTTACTCGAACGCCAGCTTCAACAGCGTTCAAGATAGTGCTGCAAGTTAAAGGGATATAAACGGAACTCACCCCCCTGTTCTAGAACTTCCCTTCACTCAACGCTTCGCCTTCATTTGACAAAGCCGATGGAAGCGCCATCTCTTGACATAGAAAATCACTGAGTATTACTAATAGTCTGCTGCGATTCTTAAGTAGCGCGGCGTCATTTTCAGCTAAGTGGTGGCGCAGTGCTCAACTTTGTCAAATGAAAGGCGAAAGTCGAGTGCAGGAGCGTTTGTGAAAACGGGGGTGGAATTCGTTGCTCAGCGCCTTCCATTTCTATCGGGTAGTGGCGTTAGTTATTTCAATCGATCGTAGCCTAATGACAGCCCTCATCTTTTTACTTGTTTCAAAGCGAGTGCTATTTGTTAAACGCAGAACTGCGCCAGACGGCGCAAGCTCAGCTTTAGTGGCATTCATGTACTTGAGAGTTATTGTTTGTCATTTGTATCAACATCATATTTGTCTTCGGGATGCTATCAAATTAACGCTGCTTGAAAGTTTAACATGCTTTCATGCTTGCGCGGTCTCACGTCTGCTGCGAGAGGTGGCGGGGTCGCATGCGTGAGCTCATAATTTAGAACGACCGACCTTCACCCTTTACCCGAGAAACCACCAACCTTCACCTTTACCCGAGTAACCACCAACCTTCACCTTTTACCCGAGTAACCACCAACCTTCACCTTTCTCGGAACCTTCGCCTTTTACCCGAGTAACCACATTACGTGGTTACTCGGGTAAAAGATGAATGTTCACCATTCTAATGAATACCTATATGAAGGTCTACATACATTTCTATAAGAAATCAATATGAATGTCTATAGGACCTATAGACATTCAGTTGATCATGATGAAACAACCACCAATACGGAAAAGTTATACCAACATTCCCAACTGGCAGTCATCCTAGGTGCTTAACTGCTGACCCAAGGGTCGCGAGTTCTATCCCGGTTGTTGTGGTCGCATTTCCATAGAGGCTGAATGGTAGAGGCCCGTGAACTGTGTAATGTCATTACACGGTAACGAACACCAGATTGCCGAAATTTCCGGCGCTTTCCACTATGGCGTCTCTCACATTACGAAATGGTGGTTTTGGATCGTAGAACCCCATATACTATTATTATTATTTCAATACATTAGAAGTCTACAGCTAATGCTCAATTGACTTTCGTTGGCATGATTGTCTGTTGGTTTTCACTAGCGTTGTCTAATAAAAAAAATGAGCCCTTATCCTTTTCTCGTTCAAGGCTTAACGGTGCACTCTTATCGGCAATCAAGAGAGAGGATATTTACCAGAGGCAGAGAAATAGCAGCAGATGAAATCCACCACCGAAAATGGTGGCTTTCAGGGCGCTGTCGTGGATCATAGATGCGCAGAACACCATAACGTAGGCGTAGTAGGCCCACACGAAGAGCCCGCAGACAAGCACCACGGGAAGCCAGTTGAGCAGATACGACTTGCAGCTGCGAGAACGTCTCAACCCGCGGCGCCGGCCCGGTCGCGTAGCCCAAAGCGATCGGCCAAAGACCGCACGCATGTAGATTTTTCTTCTCCTTCTTCTTCAGTCCGAAGCTGCTCTAGAGAGAATCTTCTTTTACCGGAACACATGCAGAGCCGAAAAGGCATCAAGATCATAGTGTCGTTGCAATCTCATTAAAGGCACGTCTACACACTTCGTTCGAAAGGAATAGGAGGCGAACGTTAACACTACGCGTAACACTGAATTTGCGAATATTCTTCCTCTTTTATCTGCAAATTTGTTTTGCCTATCCTCTGCAATATTTTTCTTCGAATTACTTGCACACTATAGTGTCTTAAGTTGAATTAGGTAGTTAAGAATCTTAAGAGGTACTTTAGACAAAATTTCCACGATTCTTTATGCATCTGCCTAACACGGACGTACGTTGTTGGTGGTGGTAGTGTTGTCCTATTAACTGTGGTGCACACCCATTGTCAGGATTGGCAAACGTTTTAGGGGTTGTTTAAAATATTATAAAATTTTGCAGTAAGGAAGGTTTTAGAAAAGAAATATCATAGATAACATAAAAAGGTAATGTGCTCAATCTAATGTATACAGCTATATATATAAAAAGCTTTTTGATTTTTTTAGGAATAGATAAAAAAGGAAGCAATATCATGTTCTTGTTACACGTATATATTATGTAGACACATTAGAATAAAAATACTGATTAGTTAATCAATCGATTGGTTTCATAATAGTACTCCTTTACAGCCACCAATATCTTCGCATTGGAGAACGAACGAACGTAGGGCGGGCAATATCCCTCTCTTCTTAGCAGATTCTGTTGGCCTTTTCCGAAAGATTTCAGCACCTTATGTGGTTTTGCACTGCTTCAGAAATCAGAGAAATCGGAAGCAATCTGCATCTCAAATGGTTCTGCTAATGCCTCCGTGACCTTTGACCAAGGAATAATGTCTTATAACGACAGTATCACTGACGTCACGTGATGCCATATTATGACAACATCACCAATTTTCGCGACCTGTGACGCCAGTGTGGTTTATATGACGTGATTGTATGAGGGCAATATTCGCATCATTATGTTTACGCCAAAGGTATATTTTCGCGTTTGATGAGGCATGGTGATCGCTCATCCCCGCCTAATTACACACCCATATCTTTAACTAGTACCATATGTAAACTTTTGTAACACATTATACACTCCCAGGTAATCTCCTATTTAGAGGAACACAATATCATCTTTAAATACCAGCATGGTTTTCGCAAGGGCTATTCATGCGAAACTCAACTCGCGGGATTTACCCATGACTTGCACTCATCATTGGACGCCGGCATTCAAACTGACGCTATATTCCTTGATTTTTCAAAAGCATTTGATCGTGTCCCTCACCATCGGCTCTTACTAAAACTTAGGCAGCTTAATATTCACCCACTTGTTCTTGTCTGGCTACAAGCCTTTCTTTCCAGTAGAAAACAATTCACGTCTGTCAATAACTTTAACTCTCCTTTTGTTGAAGTCTCATCTGGAGTTCCCCAAGGAAGTGTGATTGGTCCCTTGCTTTTCCTTATTTATATTAACGACTTACCCTCCTCAGTCAATTCTAAAGTTAGGCTTTTCGCTGACGATTGTGTCATTTACCGTACCATTTCATCTGAAACTGATCGACAATCTCTACAATCTGATCTTGTCTCTTTAACTTCGTGGTGCACAGCATGGCAAATGACACTAAATCCTTCAAAGACTAAGCTAATGTGTTTTACTAAAAAAGCGTCCCGTATTCCAACGTCTTACTTACTAAATAATACATCAGTGGAGCTTACGACTTCTTATAAATACCTTGGGGTTAACATTCAGTCTGACCTGTCATGGCATCACCACATTAACGTCACCCTTGCTTCAGCAAATCGCTCACTCGGGTTCCTTAAACGTAATTTGAAACACACCCCCTCGCACTTGCGTAAACTGGCTTATATCACCCTAATCCGTCCTAAAATAGAATATGCCTCAGCCATTTGGGATCCCGATCAAGACTACATTATTGAAAACATCGAAGCCCTGCAGAACCGTGCTGTACGTTTTATTTTTTCTGATTATTCACGTCACACCAGCGTCACTTCATTGAAACTTCGTGCCGAACTGGAACTCTTATCACGTCGCCGTAAAATTGCTCGCTTATCACTACTTCATAAGCTCTACCATCACACATCACTTCACGAGGACTTCTTTAGGCCACCCCCTGCCATCTTTCCGCGCCGCGATCATCCCTTTAAAATCGAACGCTTCCCTTGTCGCACTTTTCATTATGCTAGATCCTTCATACCGCGCACAATAACCGAGTGGAATGACTTACCTTCAAACATTGCAACCGTCACCGATATCACTGAATTTCAGAACCTACTAAACATGAGTGCAAGCGTGTGAACCTTTTGCGGCATTCCCCCCTCTTTTTTCTTTTTTCTGCAAACCGTGTTTTTTGTAGAAACTGCGTATGTTCATGGTTCGTGGTATTTATTGCTGTGTTAGCCTAATTCAGTTATTCACACGTGTTTTTGGTGATGTTGCCATTCTTTTATGCTTAATGGCGCGTGTGTTTGTAGTAAGCTAGATTGCGTTTTATTGAAGGGCCATATTATGACAACATCACCAATTTTCGCGACCTGTGACGCCAGTGTGGTTTATATGACGTGATTGTATGAGGGCAATATTCGCATCATTATGTTTACGCCAAAGGTATATTTTCGCGTTTGATGAGGCATGCAAGACTTTCGCGTTCGTAACAGATGTAAAACCGCCCATTGGAGAACTTCTTTGGCCGACGCTCCAGAAACGTGCGCACGGGGCATGAGACACCCACTGTATTCACTTTAGGAGGGGGCCACGAAAACGTGCCCTATACCTCGATTTACTAGGGGGGCGGGCGCTTAGAGAAAACTCTGTGCAGGCTCTATGCACCTTTTCACAAGAAGGAAAAAACACCGCCATGCTGAGCTGCGCATGGGAGTACAAAGGCTAAGGGTGCAGTATTGTCAGTGCATTCTTGAGGGGTCACGCCAATTTGCGCAGCCCAAGCAGGACTATGGCGGCACCTAAGGAAGCATTTTTGAAAAGGTGACTCTATAGTGGATCGGATGGTTGGTTGGTTAGTTGTTCTTTGGAGTCATGGTGCAATCCTCTACGGGGGATTGGCGATGAAACCAGGGGCACTTTAGGTTAGAGATAAATTTGTTTTACAAACCGCACTTATTTAAGAATGGATAGTTTCAAAATAAGCACATTAGTCAATGCAATAATTAAAAATAACAGAAAACAACGAAAAAGGAGACAAAACTCAACAAGCAATTAAGGCTGAAATAAAAGTGAATTTACGCTCAAGCTCAACATTCTATTCGTTTTATTTCTCTCAGAAAATCACGTGCGGCTTCGAAAAAATGTTCCTGGGGCTAAAGCCTGTTTCTGTCATTCCGAAGGAAAGGACCACCGGAAGGGATGAATTCCTTTGAAACAAGAACGAGGCAGTGGAAGAAGACGATGACGATGCCCGCGGTGGTCGGCTACATGCGTCGTCGTAGTTCACTGTCGGGCTGGCTACCGGTCCTCCTAGTCCTGGCTGGATTCTGCTGGGCCTACTACGCCTACGTGCACGTCTTCTGCCCGGTCCTGGTAGCGGACCGCGCGGAACGTGTCTCACTGTCGGCATTCTTCCACCTGATCCTCCTCCTCGCCCTTTGGTCCTTTCTAAGGGTACGCCACGGCTTTGACAATTTTTGCGGAAATGAGATTGACTCGCGACGCCAGCAACTTTAGAGGAAGGCAGTCCAAGTTAACTTTCGCTGCTTTACGTTTCAAAGTTTAATATTCTTATGTGATATTTAGTCGCGAAAAACTGCGGAATACCTTTCCGAAACGTTCCTCTCAACTCACGCGTACTTATTCTGGCAAATAATTTCTGCTTTAGCCCACAAAAGGCATAAAGTTTCATGAGTGGGAACAATATGGTCGTACGCCCATTCGTAGAAATAAGGTACAGTATTCGCGTATGTAAACGCGAAAATTGAAAGCCCAATAATACATGGGCTTTTGTTTCTCGCGTCTACAGTTCTTGACACATCGGCGTAATTTCGACGTGCACACTTACGTTCGAGGCAGCATTACTCAGGAGCAATAACAATGGCTCATATCAGTCATTATACTAAAAAAAAACTATGTTACACGTACAGAAATTCAGTCAGATTTCTCGCAACTAAATCTTACCATGGTGATGGTCCTCATCAGAAGTCCAAACACCGAGCTAACGTCTTTATCAAGTCGTATTTTTAGCAACTAACTGAGCTAATTTTGCCACAAAGGTGCGCGTCGCTGCCTGAAACACCTAGCAAGATTAGAAATTAAGCAACGTGGAATAGATAGGCTTGCTTTAGGAGCTCACGGGAATACACCAAATCAGGGAGTACAAGGTGATATGGGATGGACATCATTTGAGGGCAGGGAAGCTAGCAGCAAGATAAAATTTGAGAATCGATTGAGAGAAATGGGGGAAGAGCGTTGGGCTAGGAAGGTTTTCAGCTACTTGTACATGAAGAATGTCGATACAAAATGGAGGAAGCGAACCAGGAAGTTGACTGGTAAATACTTACAAAACAGCAGGTGGCCAAACCAAAAAGAACTATCGGTTAAGAAGAAAGTGAAGGAAACGGAGACTGACATGTGGAGAATGGGCATGATTAAGAAGTCCGCACTAGAGATCTATCAAACGCTTAAGCAGGAAATCGCCAAGGAAAGGATCTATGACAATACTCGGGGTAGTTCTCTACTGTTTAAGGCCAGAACGGGAGTACTGCGAACCAAGACATATCGGGCCAAATACGAAGGGGTAGACACAGTATGCAGTGCGTGTGGAGAGGAAGAAGAAACTGCCGAACACTTGATAATGTTCTGTAAAGGGCTTCACCCTATAGTTCAGGATGATGGCGCAGAGTTTTTCAAAGCACTGGGGTTTAGGGACCGGGAGGGCAAAATAAACTTTAAGTGGGTAGACTTAACTAGAAGGAGGTTATCTGATTGGTGGCTAAAGTCAAGGCACGAGTGAAAATTAAACTCTTCACTGCAAAGTACGAATCCTCAAACTGTTTTTTAAGGAAAAAAATAAATATAGTTTTTGTTTCAATAAGTATTACGGCTTGGTGGCGCTAGCCACCGCCCGATCTAAAGGGTACAGCCATACCCATCCATCCATCCATCCATAACTGGAACAAGTGTTTTGTCAACTAGGAATTGGTTGCTATGGCAAAATAACGCAATAGATGCGACAGTGAAACGCACTGAACACAGCACACAGTTGTGTCCCTCGTGCTTCGCTGTCGTATTTTACGCTGCTCTGCCATAATGTTGATCAACCAGTAGCCCCCCTATATGGAACCCTTGGAAGCTCTCGTTCGGAAAAATTATTATCAATGATTTTCGTTGCAGCTTCGTTCAACGAATGGAGGGATGACAATTATTCCGCTTCCCGTATACTTCCTTCATAACCTGATACCAGCTTTCTCTCCCCCACGCGAGATTCAAACATTCTCGTTCATTAGAACAATATGTTTACTGTGCAGGCGGTCACTGCGTCCATCCCACCCGTACCATCGCTATACTACGTGAACGCAGCGAATCGGAAGATGATAGCGGACTGCAAGACGTACGAGGAGCGAAGAGAGATACTGGAGGCATTGGGATCCAGCAGAGGCATTCTGACGCGCGCGGCCGATGGAAGCGTACGCTACTGCGAACAGTGTGGACTCATCAAACCCGATCGTTGCCACCACTGCTCCTGTTGCCGGAGGTACGTGCCACGCATCGGTCACGATTTCATTCTCTTGAGGCACAATATAGATGGTCTTTTATGGTTCAAACGTGAGGCCTCACTGCATTTCCTTAACTGACGTAAACATGAACTCCAATGTCGATACAGGTCGTGTAAATAACGCATGCCAAGGCATGTAATATCTAAATAAGGTCAAGCTACATAGTTTTTGTGCAGGAGTTGTTGTCACACTCTGGAGATTGTTGCTTGTTTAGAAATAAACTTCGAAATGACTCTATATAAAGCTGTATTAAATACAATAAAAAGTTGGTCGGCCCTTGGGCACCTGAAACATAAATTTGGAAGCTCTGTGTTCGGCGCCTTCAAACTGAACATGTATGGGCTGGCGATCTACTTTGAATTTGTTCTTTACTAATAATATTGAAAATAACTGGACATATCAGCACGTCATTTTTATACTGTCACCACTATTCTTCGATGAAAGCCTCTTGGCGCCGTTCTCCCTCCAATCTCCAGCCTCCTTTTTTGCTATTTTTATGGCCCATACACGATACGAACTGCATCGCGTGGCATTAAGCAAGCGTCACTGCCGGATCCCAGATGCATCTTGAAGATGGATCACCACTGTCCATGGCTCAACAACTGCGTGGCCTTTGGAACGTACAAGTTTTTCCTGCTCACGCTGTTCTACGTGGTGCTACTGGCCTCGTACACCTTCGTGACTGTCTCTTCGTACGCCTTGGACACGGCGACAGCGATGGGACTTTCAACGGGCGTCATGGTACACACCGGGTTTCTAGTGTTGGCCGGCACCGCACTCATGGTTCTTATCGGCGGCTTCTTCGGCGTTCATGTGCGCATCTTGTGCCGCAACGAGACGACACTGGAAGCGTTGCGCCCGTTCGTATTCGTCGAGGCGCCCGATTCGTTCGACCTCGGCATTCGCAGCAACATTATAGAGGTATATATATATCAGTGGTGTCAGGGTTACGTTATAACTGGTGTATTTGCTAACCTAACGGAGTCATGTACGTAACAAAACAGCAAGAGTTCATTGACAGGTGACCTTATGAACCATTTTTCCAGGCTCCAGCGCGACTTTTCTTACTCGGTATCATTGTTGAAACACTTAAATTTGCCCCTTCTTCCTGATAGTAGCTAATTACATGCAAATCACCACCCACCAAGACGCTAGCCGACAACCCGTTAATGTCGTGGATGAGATGTTGCACTTGTTCATGTATCCAGCGGTCCATGACAATCACAACAGGTTATGCCATGCGCACGGGAGACAGAACCAGTTCTTACACCTTTTTGAGCTTTCCATGTAGGACAGTAAAAGGTTTATAGAGATCTGGTCCATACACATGAGCCTGGTCAACGTCATAGCCTCTCAAACAACCAACAGAGCGGCCAATCGTGAAGTCAGCGCCAGCCTTGGCGTCATTCCGCTGTTCCTCCGAGCGTCACTTTTCACCCTCCTCTTCCCTTTGTGGAATGCTCCTGGTTGCGGGAGGCCTGTTTCCGCGAAGGAACTATCAAACCATCCCGAGTCGTGTAGAAATTTTCCACCGGCCAACCCAGATAGGCGAGGCGTCGAAGTAGCAGCCATAGCAATACGTAATTTGAAGAGAAAGCATGACGTCCGGGATCGCACTTTATCTGTTTAAACACACGTCTGTCACGTGTGCTAAGAAGCTTCACTGGTCGTCAATCTTCACACAGGAGAGTGGCTTCTCGAGAGTTTTCTCTCAGCATGCGCCTGCAGCCGACAAGTAACGGGTGGCAAGTTATCTACAATCATGCTAAAGACAATTTTCCAACATTAGAACTTCATCTTAGTCTTAGCAGAGGCCTAGTTCTTTCTGTTTTACTCTTTCTCGAAGCTTACGGACACGTACCCGGAAGCTTCTAACGTTTCAAACTTCGATTAGCTGGACTTAACCCAACTTAGGCCCTCTACATCCTTAGAAAGAGAGTCGCATGGCTTTTTTTTTCTGTTGGTCCTTACCAAAGAGGATTCCGGAAAGTGTCATATCCTTTGGTGCTAACTTGGCACGTCTATGACTGTTATCTATAAGGGATACGAAAAATTTCTTAGGACATCACTTAACTCCTGCAGCAGAGTTATGGGACCCAAAATGAAGTCTAAGCATTTAGTCAGTCACATACGGGGCAGGTACAGAATTCGTAGATAAGCATCGCCATGCTTTTTTTTTCTTAAAGTGTTTTGACACTCCATTCTATGGTTTTCAGGTTTTCGGCTCCAACGTCTACCTATGGCCTTTCCCCGTGCACAGCACTCCAGGGGATGGCGTGTGCTTCCCCACGAAGCTCCACCCGGACCCGCAAACAGCTATCCTGCCGCCAATGCGGCAACGCGCGCGGCAGGTGACACTCGGCCTCTCCGGCCGAGACCTTCCTGTCGTTTCACCACCCATGGAGACCGCCTTTGGGGATCTCACACCCTCGCCTGCCACCGCCGCTCGTCACATGTCATCTACGACTAGTCACGGGGAACGTGGACTGGTGACGACCCGAGCGGAAGGGGACGCGTACGACACCGCCGTGGAGACCAAGGGACTTTCACAATCGTCGACGTCGGAGCCGTACCGGCCCGGGTTGACGGTGCCAGCCGTGAACGCTGGTGGTACCGCGGTTGTGCCGGTAACGCGGGCCTCTGGACTGATATCGACCGTTGGCATGCGTTTGCCGTAGCAGCACTTAGCGGCGACGCCCGGTCGAGGATCGTCCGTAGTCGTCCCTTGGCCGGCGTTCCAAGACGTCCTTTGTGTCCGTCCAAGCACGCTAGGATGTATATAAAGTTTAATGTATTACTATGATAAACCTGTCACCAGATAAGGCACATTGGTAGTGTTCCTACATCTGCCGAGAGTTTGCGTTCATTCATTGCATTTTAAAAGCGTTGTCGAACACGTCAAAGCGCCAAGAGGTTACCGCTTGGAAATGCTCAGTTTTTTGAGAACGACGCATCAAAGAGCAGTCTTGCGCCTTGATGTTAGTTAGTATTACTATTTCGACTTTTATTAATGATTGGGTGATTTACATCTGTGTAATTTGGTGCAGACATCCACATGCTTAAAGATGTGCATGTAATAAGGGAAGAGCAGTCCTTCCACTACATAACGCCAGCTTCATCTAACGAGCTGGATGAAAGAGTAATACAAAAATTAAAATTGGGGGCCCTCATGCTTCAAGTTCAAGAGTTGAGCACGATAGCGATATCCTATCTCTAGTGCGTATTTTATTCACTCAGTGCAAATCATTTATTGTGCATAAGGGGGCAGATTAAACTACTCAACATTGGTCAACTAAAATTCCGAGAAATGAAAACGTGCCCAAAAAATGCACACAAGACACAAGCCACGGCAAAATAATGTACGCTTATTGAATCATAAACTGCAGAGGTGCATGAGCAGAACTCTGATGGAACTGTCTGTACCTTTCTGCACTTTTGGCTGAATTTCTGGTCTTCTCTGTGCCGCATGCTCCACAGCTTCACTTGTCATCAATATTCACAGATGAGAATAGCCATCGCATTTTCATCCATAGCATTTTCAGTTCTCGTACAACGCCACTTTTTCACTGACGAGCAACGCCGTCACAGGAGAAACTGACACAACACGGACGCCCTACACCGGAACTCTGACGACATTCTGTAAAACTTCATCGTATTAAAATAATGCAAACCGCTGGCACGAAGCAAAGCTGGCATAATGTCACACTCAACGTCGTACATAAGAGAAGTGACCAACCATAAAGCAAGCCATTTTTCAAACATAGGCGTGAATGCTACACAACATATGCTTACGTAACAGCTGTAAGTGAAGAAAAGTCTGATCATATTTCATCAATATCAAATTTTGAATGTAGTGCTCTTTACGTACTGAACTTCTTTTTTAAAAAATTCTGAAAGGTCGAAGGCAAACCGTGCAAATAAAGCACATATCATTGTATTATAGCACGCAAAGCTATCATTTTACTGGTGGACATTGTATTACGTCTGACGTAACTGAAATAGACCGTAATGAGTCCAGGCTCATTGCTTGAATGAAACCACTGAGAGCCACAGAGTGGCTTTTGTCATCGACTGCTGAGTAGCGGTTAGTACACAAAAGGCATTGAAATGTCAACGGAATGCAATGGAGTGAAACAAAGCGGGCCCCATCGGAAGCGCGCTGGATTTCCGTTCCAGTAATCAGAAGAGTGGGTACTTTGTGTGCGCGAGTGCGTCGGAGAAAAGCCCTTATCGTATAAGGCTTTCATTCATTCCATTACTGTCTTGGCTGGAAGATAGTGTTCCTCTGCTAGCAATAGGGCTAATTAGGCAGATCAATTTCAGCGTTGTTGTAATCAGTTTTAATGGGGTGCTTTAAGAGGCTGCATTTCCTTTATTCATCGCCTTACTTCTCCCCTTTTGCTGGTTTTGTCGTGGTTGAAATGTGCGTTTTAGTTATGTAGGTTTGAAGACAAACATTTGTGTGTGCGGGTTATTTTGTTGTCGTTTTTTCTTGTTTTCGTGTCGCTCACTCTGAGGGTTGGTGCATAGGCATTCGCACAAAAAGAAAAAAGGGGGCGGGACGGGGGACCCCCCCCCCCCCCTCAACTTACTAATTTCAAGAGGGCGCCAAGTCTCCTTTATACCTCTGTTGGACCCCTGCAGAAGTTCAGGTTCGTGACGATAATGGTGGTAAAAAAACACCAATGGTGCATTACAAAAAAAAGAGCTTATTTTCCTATAACTCCACAAAGCCACGCAACAAATGCGGGCTTTCGTAAAAAGTGCGTAATCGCTGAATTGTCAAACGCACAGTAAATTTCTTTACAGCCAAAAGGGTGTAAAAAGCGTGCTTTTGAAGCAAAAACACTCTTTGCCACACCCTTTAACACTTCTGCAACCATGGTTGCAGAAGGGAATGCGGCTATTACTTGAAAAAAGCGCAGGTGTCCACTTGTGTGTGGATTGAAGTTTAGAGTGGCTGAATTATTTTCGAGGGTATTCCAATCGAAGGAAGTCTCGGCAGTTGCTTAAAAGACGCTTGGCTTTTCGTGACATTATTGTCTCTCAGTTATCATTGACATTTTGTCCAACGAATAGAAACGACCCCGTAAATATACACTTTCCATCGCTCGGATTAAGTGTCATTCATAATTGCTTTTAAAGGTTCAGGCTTGTTTCGAAAGTATCGTTTCCAAGCCTCATCTTGGTTTTTCAATAAATTATCCTCCCCCCCCCCCCTCATAAAAAATGCTGGTCTTATATACGTTTTTTCTACAAAGTAGTCATTTATGAGAGCCCGGTTTTCTGTTATGCAGTGTGCTTTTTTTGTGTGTGCATTTGCTGAAAGGGTACCCTACAGCGTCAATTTAACGGCTGTCGTGTCATGCTTTTTAACATGGTTCAATTCTGGTATACGACAGTGGCAATTCGGTCTATAGGAACGAAATGCATCCACCCCTCGTTTTATGTTCAGGTGCGTTACAAGCAAAGGTAGGTGACACTTCCTTTCGCATGCTGATTTCTACTGATAATTAATCAGTCATGCAGACGTAATTGCGCCTTCAATTGACATCGTTGTGTCTGTCATCAAGCCCCGTACGTTGTAGAAAGCGCGAAGCATAAGTATTTAAAGGGACACTTGAGAGGAAAACAATTTATCGCGCATCAATATAGTACAATTTCCCAACCCCGAAAACGTCACTTTTACCGTGACGCGACGCTTGGTAAGCTGGAAAACGCACGAAAACAAAATGTGAGTGGAGACACCACCTTGAGATTCCCGCATTAGAAATCATGACGTCATAAATTTAAAAGGCGTCTACTGGGTCTTGCGTAGCTTCTAATCCTTTAGAAGGAAGTATATTTTCATCTACGGGTGCCATGGACCTAGCATACGAAGTTTTCGCGAAATTTCTTCGAGGCAATGTCGCGAAAATACGAAAAATACATATTGAAATTTCTAACGCCACGTGCCGGCATTTCGGCGCGAATTAAAAAAAAAGTTGAAACTTCAACCTTGATTTTATCCGCTAAATATGAACGTATGACAGCAGAACTATGTCTACTTAGGACAGGTAATAACCGCTGAGCCGAACCATGAGATTGAAGTAACTAGAACAATAAGAATGGAGTGGAGGACATTTGGCAAGCACTCTCAAATTAGCAACATTTGGCAAGCACTCTCACGTAGATTGCCACTATCCCTCAAAGAGAAGGTATATAACAGCTGTATCTTGCCGATACTTAGCTACGGAGCAGAAACCTGGAGACTTACAAAGAGGGTTCAGCTTAAATTGAGGACTACGCAGCGAGAAATGGAAAGAAGAATGGTAGGTGTAACCTCAAGACACAAGAAGAGAGCAGAGTGGATTAAGGAACAAGCGGGGGTTAAGAATATCATAGTGGAAATCAAGAATAGGAAATGGACATGGGCCGGGCATGTAGCGCGCAGACAGGATAACCGCTGATCATTAAGGGCAACTAACTGGAGTCCCAGAGAAGGCAAGCGGGTAAGGGGGAGACAGAAGGTTAGGTGGGCAGATGAGATTAAGAAGTTTGCGGGTATAAATTGGCAGCAGCAAGCACAGGACCGGGTTAACTGTCGGAACATGGGAGAGGCCTTTGTCCTGCAGTGGACGTAGTCAGGCTGAAGATTATGATGATGATGACAGCAAAACGTATGTTCTTGGTGTTCTCAGAAAGGGGTTATCAATTTAAATCAAGTCATTGTTTCCCTTTAGTGTTTTTTAAGGCGTAACTTCTGATTCATTGCGTCATCATATTGCCAGTTTTATCACGTCTGCTCAAAGAAGTTGTTTAAGTGCATGTTGAGTAGACGAAAAATATTTGCTCGGCATGCCGGTTGAAATAATTTTCAGTGTTTTTTGTCTATCTGTTCATTTTGCGTAGCTGCATATCAGCGACACGTGAGTAAATCGTGTGCAATCTCTCTACCGAGCACTTGGAGCCACCCCCCCCCCCCCCAAAAAAAATAAAGTGAACAAGTCACACAAATACACGCTCTTGCATCCGCCTCAAATTTTTACGGGTTTTGTTTGTGCAACGTTTTGCAAATCATGAGGAACCGTCGAAACGAAAAGCGCAAATGCAAGCGGCGATGTATCACAGTTCCACAGAATGGCAGCAGTTCAGAGGAAGATTTGAACTAGAAGAGATGCCAGATTCCCGAACACGGGGTCTCTCTGGAGTCGACTTTCCGACAAGTAAACTTGTCTTCTTCAGGGCTGATGTTTTCACCTCCAGCAAGTTGCAGCTTCGAAGATGACAAGTCTATACTCGTCGAAATGTCGACTCCACAAACCGCGTGTTCACAAATTTTTCACCTTTGCTACAAAATATGCATCACTTTGGCGTTTCTACTTCCCCAGCAGACCCATTTCACTATTTGTTTCAATTCACTGCGCCACAGAAAAGAGCGTCGAGTGACGAGTAACGCGGGAACACTCGCCCCGAATCCTACGACGCGTTCCATCGCTCATAACATTCCGTCACTTTATTTCGCACCAGTCATCAGTCACGCGCGCGCGCCCACCGAGCAGAGGTGCCGACGCGGGAGGCACGTCGCCAGAGACCGCGAAAAATGATGGCGCTCAGGAATCGAAGACGCAAGGCAATGGCTTGCTGTCGATGGGTGGTGAGCCGCTCGAGCATATCGCGGATCCAGCAGTGGCGCAAG